AAATTAGGACTAATCAGGTGATTATTTAATGCTCATTCACCGCCTCTTCTACATCAGACATGTCTTATATAGCGTGGAATATGAGAAATGAGTGAGTGATGAGATATATACGCATACTCCTAAACAGATCAATTTGAATGAACAGCACCAACAGAATACACATATAGGAGGGAACATATACTAGCAACAACAAAAAATCAAAATAGAATGTAATGTTATAAGTTTAAATTTGAAACCTACTACCACCTATAAGGCAACGGCTAAACGCTACAGACTAGCGAGAATTCTGAAACCACCTAAAACAAGTATCTGACTCAGTTTAGTTTTAACATAGAAATTAGCATTGAAGTGCAGCGATTCATGTTGCCACATTGAATGTAGTAAAGGTGGAGGTATTCTCAAGTCTGCGTGGAGGTTAACAGCACTCCTCAGCATGAAAAATAAGATACGGATTTTCAACTCCAATTGGAAGTCAGTGTTACTAGATATACGGATAAGAGACTTGGCGCGTCATAAAGAGCATCTGAAACAAACTACACACCTTCATCAACAGCTGTCTTCGCTAAATACCACTCAAGATCAGATGGCCAGCCAGAAAACATCCGCAACAGGGTTCTCTGGTAATGAACGGACCAACCAACCCAGTAGGAACCGACTGTGAAACAAATAGGCAGGAAGAAATGGAGGTGGATTGGACTGGCCATACTCTGAGGAAACCATCAAGTGACATCACTAGACAAGCCATTGCTGGAGTGGAACCCGAAAGGGAAGCGGCGAGTCGGTCGTCAGTGCAAGGGTGACTTGGAGGAGGTCATGTGAAGAGGAGATGAAAACGTGTGGACAGACTTGGAGCCAGGTGAAAACTTTAGCAGAGAACCGAACGCCATAGAGACGCACGGCTGAAGCCTTATGTTCCTCTAGGAATTAAAGGAAATAATAATAATAAAGGCGGAGCTATAATGCACACAAATAAAAGGTGAAAAAAATAGTAACGTGGTAAAAAAGCATGACAGATTAATGAATACGGGAGATGAAAATGAATGAATGCTGTTGCGCCAGTGAGAACAATTTTAGCCATATCTCTAAAAGTCACTGTTGCCATTGCCTTTTTAAAATCTCCAAACAAATATTAAAGATTTCATGAACTGGTGACTGGTTACGGTGTTACCATCTTTAACTCTTTTGTAACCTAATGCAATGTCACACAAAATCGAAGACTTACAAGCGAAAACCGACAAACTGGTCGAAGAAGCAGCAAAGACAGGACTCCAGGTGAACATAGACAAGACGGAGATTATGAAAATAAACAACCATCAACAACATCCAAAACCAATCACTATCAACGGGAGGGATTTGAAAGAGGTTACTTCATTCACTTATCTAGGGAGCATTGTCTCAACTACAGCAGGGACGGAAGATGTCAAATCGAGAATCGGGAAGGCGAGAAACACATTCATCAATCTGAAACCAATCTGGAAATCTTCGTCACTCCTCAGCATCAACAATAAAATTCGGATTTTCAATACAAACGTCAAGTCAGTCAGTTCTTCTATACGGATGGATCAGAAACTTGGCGGGTCACAAAGAATATTTCCAACAGCCTGTTGCAGACCTTTATCAACAACTGTCTTCGCTCTATACTGAAATCATATAGCTGGAAAGAATCACTAACAAGAAACTATGGGAAGAAACAAAACAAGAACCAATCGCCCAACAAATATGCAGGAGAAAGTGGAGATGGATTGGACACTCGCTGAGGAGGCCGTTGGGTGACATCGCGCACCAGGCCATAGCTCGAGTGGAACCCGAAAGGGAAGCGGCGAGTGGGACGTCCAAGGGTGACATGGAGGAGATCGTGTGAAGAGGAGTTGAAACAGTATGGACTAACATGGATGCAAGTGAAAAGTACAGTAGAAGACAGAAGCAGGTGGAGACGTGCCCTATGTTCCACTAGGAACCCAAGGGAGAGATAATAATAGTAATAACCTAATCCAATGTCAGGTAAAATTCTTTGTCGATGAACCTGATCGTTCGGTAAGTGCAACACGTGTCCTAGACACTTTAAACGACTCACTTTCATAACCTCATCGATCTAACTTACAAACATTACGCAACACTCGATGCCAAACCTCGATATTACTCACTCTATCATACCGGTTAATACACTGGGAATAGATTGCAAACACATGTGTTCGTAAATCTTCTAATTACAATGACCATGTTTCACAGCCATAATCACGGAACAAAGTGAATTACTGAGCAGTACTCACTCCATGGATCGATAACCAGATATCATATACAAACTAAAGGTGATGTAATTTAGAAAAATGTCACACAAACTTCCATCCCTAGTAGCAACAAGTCGATTAGGGTTGAAGTCTTCACAACCCATTCAACGGCATCACTAGCCATCATTATAATACGACTAGGAATCGTTCGATAAACCAAGCCTAGATTAGCACTTTTAACAGGCACCAAATCGCATATACCACACACATATCAGTCAGTATCATCACACCTAAGAGGACACAATACTAACCACTTGCAATATTTTTAATAAGTCGACGACGAGACTATCCCCCACCCCTCCTCCGATTAATTATTGATCAGAGAGAGAGAGGGGAGAGAGAAAATAACAAACTAGAGAAGCAACACTACTCAAAACTACTGAAAAACTAAGTAACTAACTAACAAACCAACTGACTCACTCACAACAAGATATTGTAGTAACAATATACACATAATCCATAAGTGAACAAAAACTACATGCGTATAAAATGAAAAAGCGAAGAAGTAAAACACGAAGAGCACAATAATTTTTTTATATTTCAATAACAAACCTATGCATATATATATATATGTGAGTGTATAGATACATACTTTAGAGACTCTTTGTATAAACATGAATAATAATAATAGAAAAATGTCTAGAAAAGAGAACTATTACGAAACACGTATGCACGTACACATACGCGCATGCACACACACACGCACTCACGTAGACGTGTGAATGTGGACAGACAGATGTAAAGAAACGCCTATTATTGTTATTGTTATCATTATTACTACTTCAGAGAGAGAAAGGGAGGTGGTTTTAAGAAATAAAAGAAGAGAAAAGAGGGCAGTTTTCATCCCTTGGAAAATAAAATATACATAGATACAACAACGCTGCCACAACACAATTGTTTCTTCTGACACTTTGTTTATTTTTTAAATACATGATGAATAGAGGGGCAGGGAGAGGTGACGGATTGGGGCGAGAGGGGAATCGGAGGAATAAAAGAAATATACGTACAATGGAAAAAGGCGGCGAGGAAGAATAACAGGGAGGAGAGAAGTATGCAGTGGTGGTGGGGGGATATTAAACACACACACACACACAAAACAAAGGAAGTGGAAGGGGGCAAACACAATATAGGGAAAATAGTCCCCTACCGACATTTAGAGTTCGAGTTAGTTACGTTAGTTAGTCAGTTAGTTAGTGCGGTTAGTTGCAAACACACAAGCAGACAGACAGAACAGACAGTGAACCGAAGAAATTTTGAAATCCTAAATAAACACACACACTGGTAAATATAGAATAAACAATATGTATGTATGTGTGAATACAACTCTATTATATATGTGAGAAAAATCCTATCTCTGAAAACTTATAACAATAATAATAGTATTAGTAATAGTAATATATCCTAATCATACCTACTCACAATGGTATGCGTTTTTTTCAAAAGCACACACTAGTACAAAATCATAAGGGAAAATAAATGTTTCATTAGAAAAAAGAAGGCAAACTCGGTCGGCATCCCACAGACAGACGCACACGCGCAGACAATTACATAATACACAAAATTGTTGCTTGTCAGGATTATGCGCTCCTGTTGGTGTTATGGTATTGTGTGTATTTGAGAATAAACACACAGGCTCTAACTAAGACAAAATAAAGTGAAGCATTAAAAGAAAGAAGTTAAGTGTGTTGAAAGAGTGTCAGACACATGCTCAAACAGTGTGAGCACAATTACTCACACAAATAGGTGGTGGTGGGAGACTGACAACACTGCCGCCAACGCCATCATCCTCATCATCGAGCAAAACAGTTTGAGAAAATCAAAAACCATACTAATTATAATAATAATAATAATATAAAAGAGGTAATTATGATCAAATAACAGTTTACGATGGTAAAATAAGTAATTCGAAGAAGCTTACAAATAATATGAGGAGAGGAATATACCTGCCCGACCGCCCACCTGAACAAAGATGCTTGTCTTTTGGGGCTGGACACCACCTTGTAAACATATAAGGAAACACAGTTACACCCCCACACACATCTGAGGATATATACACAGAAAGAGATGGAGAGAAGAGAGACTCGAAGGGAACTTGGCAAAAAGGGGTGAAATTCTCAGGAGAAAAAATCCTAAAATATATCAAAATGATGGTAGTAATAATAATAATGATAATAATAACAAAAACGCCTTTCATTTCATCATTTATTCAACACATATACGTATAATGATAATAATAATAATAATAATATGTAATTAAAGAGATAACACAAATAGTCAAAGGAAACTTTAAGAATACTAATCTTAGAATAGTTAGCTAGTTGGTTAGTTAGTTAGTCAGTTAGTTTCTTCAGATCAGATAAATCAAAGGATCAAGTAAAACACAAAAAATTCACACATCATCATTACCTATGGAAAGATAATGAAGCCGACCCCCACCCCTCCCAACCAACCTTATACCCCAGCACCCTGCGCCTCCTCTTCTTCGCATCAATTACACATCAATATTCCAAATGTGGATTAAGCATCAAACGACAACAAAAAAGGCACATATAGAATTGAACATTAATAAGGAAAGGTGAATTCAACACGACCTAGTTACCTTCTCTACCTAGGGCAATACACATACATACATGCGCCTAGCAGTTACATAATCTCATCAATTGTATATCAATATTGAAACTCTGTTTATACAGACACACACATACAAAGGGGAAAAGGGGATTTATCAACTAATAACAATAATAATAGTAATAATAACAATACCTAACAACCACAACCACAAGGACAACAATTCCTCCTCGCACTTCCTCAAGGAGTCCTGAAGGTCGAAATCAAGCCGATTATGAATACAACACAATAAGAAAAGGTCTACAGGATAAAGAGAGAAGACCGACTGACTGAATGTGACGTGGAAGTATAATATAAGACAGTGTAAAGCAAAGACAACCAACCAACAGACCAAACAACCAACCAGTCAACCACTACCAACTACCAAACATCCAACAATGATCCTACGTTTTCTTTTTTTTAAAAATAATATGAAAAGTCATCAAAAATAAGCACATTTCAGTGTATTGTTAATATTCTAGAGTAAAAAGGGTGGGGAGGGGAGAAGAAGAAAAATCCTTGAGCATTTATAGAGAGATCTATAGTTTTTTTCCCAAAACGAAAAAAAAGAGGGAGACACAACTTATTCTGTAAAATGACGAATAAAATACAATTTTCTTTTTCTTTCTTTGAAAAATGCGCCTACTCTCGGGAATAACACCGCACCGCACCACACCACACCACAACACACACGGACATATACACATAGAAAGAAGAGGGTAGGTAAGTAGGTACACAGACACCATTAGCTGTTTTGTTCATTGAGAAACCGGTATTATTATTATTGATATCACTAGTACTCCCCTTGATGCACAGTAACAGCATAACACACACACATATATCATGAAGTAGTAGTAGTGAACGACATCCTCAATGCTTCAAACACCGGTGGCGGTGGAATTCTCATCTCTCTACGTTTATTATTACTATTATTATTATTATTACTATTATGATTTAATTCTTCAGCTTTAATCATTGCAGCAGACAGAGGCAGAGGTGTTCTTCTTGTTGTTAATGGTGTTGCTCCTGCTCCTGCTGCCGCTGCTGATGGTGATGGCCACAAGGATGACGAGGATGATGATGATGCTGATAATGCTTGAATGCTTGGATCACCGACAAGTTGGCTATTATGATTATGATTATGATTATTATTATTCTGCTGCTGCTGGAGAAAACTCCTTGATGTATCACTGGTACAATACTGGTCGTATATCCGTATTAAAAAAAACAATTGTTCACAGGATAATAAACCATAATCGACAAGATTATTCAAGTGTATTATGAGATTTGCACGTAAACGACGTGAATGAATTATACGATAATATTTATGAATAAATTGACATGTTAACATTGCCACTTGAATATCACTAACATTGAAAATGGATGGAGGAATAGACAGTAGGAAATAATTCCATAATTCCATCACTTTGATTTCTCCCTGATGAAAGAAAAAACATTAAAAAAACAAAAACAAGAATGGATCAAGGAATAAGAACAACAGGGTAATAGTAAAAATAATAATAATAATAATAATCAATACATATACACTTATATATGATTAACACACTTAATCGTTTTCATTGTGCTGAATTTTCTGTAGCAACTTTGTTTACAGGGGTTGCTAGCCTCACACGCCTGAGAAGGCATAAAATGGACCCTCACGAAAAACTTAGAGGATCTAGACTTCGCCCATGATGATATATTTATGTCTGATTTCCTACAAACTGGTAGATATGCAAGCGAAAAGCAACAAGTTGGCAGAAGAAGCATCAAAGATAGGACTTCAGGTGAACATAGAAAAAACCGAGGTGATGAAGATTCCTGGCCAACACCAACAGCAACAACAACAACAGACAACAATCAGAACAAATGGGAGGAACCTGAAAGAAACAACCTCTTTTACCTACCTGGGAAGCATCGTTTCAAGTACAGAAGGACGGAACTGATGAGGATATCAAAGCAGAGGGGATGGGGAAAGCAAGGCAAGCTTTCATTGCTCTCAAGTCTGTGTGGAGATGAACAGCACTCAGAATGAAAACTAAGATGCATATTTCCAACTCCAATGTGAAGCCAGTGCTACTTACTGTACGGATAAGAGACTTGGCACCACATCGCGTCACCAAGGACACCTCGAACAAACTGCAGACATCCATCAACAGCTGTCTTCGCTCAACATTACTCAAGACCAGATGGCCGGGCAGAAAAGATCAGCAATACGGATCTCTGGCAATGAACGAACCAACCAACCCAGCAGGAACCGATTGTGCAACAAATAAGCAGGAAGAAATGGAGGTGGATTGGCTGGCCATACTCTGAGGAAACCATCAAGTGACATCACACGCCAGACCGTCGCTCGAGTGGAACACGAATAGGAAGTGGCGACTTGGTCGTCCAAGGGTGACTTGGAGGAGGTCATGTGAAGAGGAGATGAAGGCATGTGGGATGAGGTGGAGCCAGGTGAAGACTTTAGCAGAGAACCGAACGCAATAGAGACGTGCAGCTGAAGCCCTATGTTCCTCTAGAAATTAAAGGAAGAAATAATAATAATGATAATCGTTTTCATTATTTCAGAAGATGAAACGCCCAGAATAATGCAAGTGATTGTCTTTTTTCAAAGGGTCACACACGTCTTTCCCACCCCTCTGAGAGCCTTTCACATTTGAAGTTTGCTTCACAAGTCAGTGAGAGCACCGTCAGGCACTACGTGTCCATAGTTTCTGGTGATCAAAAACAGGTTTATATAATGTTAGATCCTTCACGAATTCTGCAGCCCACACATCATAGATTTAGAATAAAAGTTTTCTAACTATCCCTACTCTACGCAGTAGAGTAGACCTGCAGCATGCCCTTCTCCCAACCCCACCCCCTCCCTACCCAAAAGTTCGGTTGTAAAGCAACATATATTTTCAAATTTGTCATTTCACTTTTGCCAGGGTCATCCCCGGCCACATACGTGAAGGCAGTTAAATAGTAATTATTTGATTGCGAGGCCACATTAAAGCACTTCGAGAGTAAGTTAATCGAATGTTTACCTACCGGTTTGCACCAACTCCCCCCCTTTACCAATAAGAAAGGGAAGTAGTTGATTGTTATGGCCATCTCATTTGTTTTGGTAGGTTGCATCACAAACCCGCCCCCCCCCCCAACTATCACAATTGGACTGATTGCTTATTGGCACTTGTGAAGCCTATGTCATCTTTCAGGTCAAAGGATATGTGTGCTCCTTTATGCCTATGAGGCTTAGGTATAATGAAACTGAGAGATGTGTAAACGTTTGGCTATCTTTGACCACAAATGTTTAGTTCTACCTCTCATATGTTAAGTGGTATCATATAGTGAGTGAGTAATATTCAGGTTAGGCGTAGAGTGTTATGTAACGGAGACTGTGAAGGTGAATCCACTGAGATGGTTAGGACACGTGTTTCACATTCCTTCATAGCACACAGTTCATATTATGAAGAACAATACACAACCAACTGAATACTATTGGATAAGGATTATTACTATTTTAATTGAATTTTAGATTGTCCCGTCGATTGGTTGAACGGAAGTGCTCGGTCTCAGGTTGACATGTCGGCTTCTTGTGCAGATGCTTCGACGATGTCTGCGCTATATCGTGAATTGGCAGAAGTTAGAATTCATGGGCCATAGGATCGGGTCTCAGTGGCTTAATAGTATACGAGCTCGCTTTGTAGCCAGAAGGTCCTCATGTTAGAGCCTCAGTGGGAACATCATCACTGACTCACTGTGGAATGCAGGTACGTCCACTAGCTGACGAGTCCCAAATAGGACGATATGCGCATCCTGGATTCCACTGCATGTCACAATCCACAAATTAAAGATTATAACTACTATTATTTCCTTGGGTTCCGAGACTTCAAAAGAACATCTCCATTTCATCCTGTTTCCTTCAGTCCCAATTAATCTTGCTCCACGATAATCCATAACCTCTCTTCTCTCTCCTCCTCCTCATTGAATAGTGAAAAATATAGTTTTCCACATTTTTGATTATCAAGTCGATATGATGGTGATGGTGATGTTATTAGACAACTTTTGACGCCTTACACCGAATCGTAGACATTTATAAGCCAAAGCAATCTATAAAGGAAGTTACCTGGAGAGTTCTGGTGGATCAGTGGCGTCCATTAAATCAGATAGGAAGACGTTGCGCTGTGATTACACTCTATATATATGTAAGTCATAGATAATAATTTGCTCAACTACTCACTCAAACGGCTTGTCTACAGCCTATTATTTCAATATCGTTATACCTATGCATTATTTATTTTACTCGGACGATTCATACGATAGATAGAACTTACCTCAATGTAGCCTCTGTCACAAACTAATATCATTTAGAGAGATCATTTAAAATCAACAGCGGGCACTGGACACCTGTTTCGTCCCAGTTTGGGACTCTTCGTCAGTGCACCACTGTTAGAGATCGAACTCGGGACCCCAGAAGATCACGATATCCAGATCATTGGTCATTCATTCAACCACTTGGAATAGAATTCACCGACACGTGAATTCGAACCTGGTCAATTTGTTACGATATTACGCAACTATTCATTCACTAATGCCTTCGAGTGGTATCCACTTTACTTTGGATCCTACTGGTCACGCCTTTTCAGTAATAGCCTTAGGACACTTATCCAGTAGCCAGCGATGACCTGAAGATCGATATTTAGATTATCAGGTCATTAAATTCCTAATTACGTGGCTGAATGGTCAACTAACTCACCGTGTATTTTGAGGATCCCGGGTTGAACCCCTCCCCCGATGGTGGTGGGGTCATGGGTGCGCAGTGCTAAAGAGTTTCAAATTAGGATGAAACAGATATCCAGTTGTTTCTTACTTTTTAATAATATTTTTAACTGATATTGGTTCGTTATATGAAATGTAATCTAACAGCGGAAATTTAACTAATCTCCAGCCAACTGACGGCTACCGGATGGATGTCCTGAAACTGTAACGAGAAGTCGTGACTCGGAGGATCCATCATATCAAGCATGGTGTCTTCGAAGGTGTTGGGTAATAAATATTGTTGGCTGACATAGTAAAAATTCGTGGATAACTACTGGATGCCGGCCCAAGTGTCTGCATGGTCGACAAATTTTGGTGTATTCGGAGGTGTGGGGTCATGCGTGTGTGCACTGTCGAAGAGTTGCAAACAAGGACGAAACAGCTTGTTGACACCAGTAGTCAACCACTTGGAGTAGAATTTAACAACACACGAATATATTCCTAAGGTGTTTTCATAAAAATGACATGTAAACTAGAGACAAGAGAGACAAGAGAGAGAGCAAAGGTCCTGAAATATAAAAAGCAGGATCAGTGGGATGGAATGCAGTCATTCTTTTTCTAAAACTTCCCGTATTACTATAAGCCAATTAAAATTGTAAAACATAAGCTGTCTGTCATAAAAGACAGACAAACAGAGACAGAGTAGGAAGTAAGGGGAAGGGAAGGCAGGCACAGAGAATAGACTTACCTGATTTACATCACTGAATTCTTCGACTTTACGCTGATAATGTTGACGTAACCAGTGTGGAGCATCATCATCGTCAGAGTCTATATCAAATTCACTGGCACGAATCGGTTGTGTTGTTATTGTATGATAATAGACACGATTATGTCCAACAAGCATAGGTTGTACAGAGACAGTTGAGTCGAGAAGCTGAAATAAAGAGTGAGTGAGTAGGCGGTGGTTGTTGGGAAAGGAACAAACAAAATAGAATGATGGACAACTACAACTTAAACTGATTACATCCAACTGAGGAGAAGAACGTAAACAACAAACGAAAGCTCAAAATCAACTCAAATCAATAGGGGGGGGGGGTGGTAGAAAAAGTAACAATAAGGAAACATTAGTGAATTTAAAACTTATAATAATTAAATACCTTCCATACATATCCACATTTTGCTTACACACACACACACACCATACCACTAAAAGAAAACAAATTCAAGGTTAAACTTATATAGAGATTCAGTATACCATTCAAAACAGACTTATATAATGATAAAGGCACGAAATCATAATGACACGTTTTTTATTGACGCATTCTCTCCATAAACCCCAGCTTAGTTTACAGATCGATATATAGTAAGCCGCAGGAAAAGAGGTTAGGTTGGGGGACAATGCTAGTACCAACTAATTTATGATAGCTGCTAGATATGATAGTCATACCAGGAAGAAGGTTGTTGAGAAACAGCTATAAGTAACAGCAATAAGCTGTTTCCTTCAGATGACCAGCGCACATGCCAGCCAGCTATGCTGTCTGTCCGTCCACCCTGGAGAGAGGGGATCACAAAAGGTTGACCCCCCAAAATTGTACATCCTAGAGTTACCTAATTAATGACTGTCCGTAGCTGGCGATAAGATCTTATCATAGACATAACTTGAAATAACTAGTTCAAACAGACTATATTTGACGGGCCTCTCCTGACCGGCATCGATTTGAAATAGCTAGGATATGTGTAACGCGTACTTAGCCATTGACATCCTCGACGGCTAAGGTCAGTTAACGTAGGATTGATCAGGTTGGAAAAGAGTAAGCTAGTGGTGGTGAAACGAAAACATGGCTTCATCAGTCAATGAAATCCATCACAGTTAGTTCAGGCCAGTCAGTCACCTACGGAAGTGTAGACTGGTTGGGGTCCTTGAGATGGTAAAAACCAATGACGGCTGGAGACAATTGCTGATATTGCTGGCTCGAAATCATTCTCAGTGAGGGCTGGCTCAGATGCGTATCGTTCTTCTGAATTTCTTTTCTTCTTCTTCTTTTTCTGTGCTAGATGGAGAGTGTGTGCCGATTTGAACTGGTACAATTCCGTGCAAAGTTTTATGTTGAAACCAGTCACAGTCAGTCTCATTGGCTCTGCAGTCACGCAAGACTAATTCTCTTTCTGAACCCCAAGGAAAAAAACTAACCTCTACAGTGTGGGCAGCTGGGAAGTAAGAATCACCTAAACGCCTCGAAAACAGAGTCAGCTGCCCTTCCACACAACATAAAAACAATACCATCACTGCTGCTGGAACTTCACAGCTTAAAGCTTGAAGATCTGTCGTCCCCTCGAAACGCAAGAAATAAGAAGGGACGAGCGTGAATACTAGTGAGAAGCATAGAAAACACTAAGATGAACCTTCTTAAAATAATGTGCAAGCCACAGTAAGAAATGCTCATGTAATAAGGCTTGTATTTAAACCTCGAACGAGACACTTTGATTATCACCAAGGAACTGTGTGACACATAGCCTAGTAAACTGTAATATAACTCAGTAACCAAATGCAAATTAGTTGTGAAGGAGGCAATACGTCATAGGTTAATGGATTGACCTCCTGGCTCTCCACATATCGCCGTTTACATAGAGGTTGAATGCTCAAACAAGATTATTTTCTATATCACAAGGATTGACGTTTTTCATGGAGGAGAAGAACTCGTAAATCCTGAAACCCCTCAGGACGATACTACTACTACCGTACCGAAAGAAGATAAGGGACAGGCAACAGATGGTTTATTAAGAAAATCAAGAGGTATTCATGGATTTCTACGTACATTATTGTCAGCGGAGAAGCAACATCTTCTGATTGGTTGTTTTCTTACTGAAGGTTATTCTGTTATCTCTTTGCGACCGTTTCTCATAAAATCAAGCCACCAGCAAGTACAAAAAACTCAACCATACCCTACTTAGCTCGTGTTCTGTGTGATAAAAAAAGCATTAGGCATGACACCCATAATTCATTAAATAGTCAGTAGTAAAACTGGACCTTGTCTTTCCAACTCATATCATTTATAAGTACAACATTTTCTTTCTTTCCTTTCCTTTTCTCTCTCTCGTTTTCTCTTTTGTTCCGTTATGTGCTGCTCTGTTTTTTCCTTCCGCTTACGCCAGTAAATATGACAGCACCTACTTTTCTAACACCTTCAAACACTGTTCAACTTTGGCTTTGCTACCGACATGCCAATATGTTGTTATCATAATGAACTGAGATTTCCTTAATCTATGTAGAATTCTATTTATTGACAATGGACTAACTGGATGCAATACTGTAGTAAAAATGCTGAGAATTCCATTCTATATCACATGTACTGTTTTGGAATAAAGCAAATTATTATTATTATTATTATTATTATTATTATTATTATTATTATTATCTGCGAATCATATTTCCACACGTTAACAATTCCGCTGTGATTGGCTGTTTTTCGTATGACCCCCTGATTCAGGACGTAAACAACATTGACGAAAAGTTGTTGTCTACAATTTCGGCGTGCAGACAGCTCTCACTACCACTGGTAATAACAATACACAGAGTCTCTTAAACACCCCCTAAGGATAAAATCTGCAGTTCGTTCATACCATCAATATGTAAGATGAAGTCACAGGGTTAGCTAACCATACATACAACAACTTTCAACTGAAGAATGAGAGGTGAAGCAGGCCAGAAAGAACGACACTGGAAACTTCGCTTCTTTAGAAAAGGTTAGATTCTATTTGCTAATGGAATCCCAAGAGTTCAGTGCGTCAGAACAGGGCTTTCAAAATAGTACAGTTTAAATCCAACCAGATCCCATTTAGCTGCAAAAATTGAGTGTATTTGGGCGCCAGTCAGTCACAATTCTGGATAGATACGTAGATATTTCATTAACATACACATTTCAGAAAAAGAAGAATAAAGACAAAAAATGACTAACTTCATTGCTAGTGCAACCTTCAACACCACGCCAAAATATGATATGCGTATAAGGGAAACGTCGAATTGGACAACGAATACGCAGAGTGGCTTTAATGTTATTGTTCGATGCAGAGGAATGCTGTTGCTGCTGCTGATCTGAATTGTCTTCCATTTTAATTTTAATATTATTAATGCTATTATCATCAGTTGTCGTCCAACCATTAACAAATAACTGACTAGGTGTTATGCTATGACGTCGTGTAATAAAATTCTTATATACACCAACACACCATCTACGTAATCCACAATCATTTGAACCATCATAGGCATCATTTAGGCTGACTTCTAGGCTTAAATGATTTCGTGTTGAATACCATTTAGCCTTGAAACGAAATCTTGGATGACTACTTCGAAGATGAATAAGTAAGGCTTCAGCACCTAATATTGACAAAAAAACAAGCAAACAAAAAAGAGCATCAGTTGAAGAGTTCATTTTGTCAGTTTAGCGAACCATTGAAACAACCAACAAGGAGTACTGGACTAGCAGTTGTTTCTTCCCAATTCGGGACTCCTCATCATATCAGTAAGCACCCACCCACCGGTTTTAAAACCCTGCATTAGGTCCCAGTAGCAGAATAGTCAATGATCTTTCCTTGCAACGAGAAGATCCCGCATAGATTCGAACCCCCGTGAATGCGTACTGTTGAGAAGTACCAAACTAAGACGACACATCTGGCTATCCAGTACACTTCCTGGTGGTTTTCAATGGTTCTCTAACCGACAGCAATCCATGATCACAACTTAAAGATCAGTCGAAAGCCAATATAAATAAATTTAATACACAAAGTCATTTTTTTATTACATAACACAATTTTAACAATACGAAATGAAAATCACTTAAACACATGCTGATTGAATTACTAATCAAATAATCGAATATCAAGTTTTATTGCTGTAGTGTATCAAGTGAACCAGAATTCCCTGATTTTAGTAAACGTATACTGAGAAGATATCACGCTCACCAGGTACACCCCTGAATGAGAAACGATGAGAATTGGCACGGAGCAGTCAAGGGTGAAATGGGATGTGTATGGACGATCGAAGAAGTAGCTAAAAGACTGCCGAGTACAGAGTGGAATGGCAATGTGCTCCTGAAGCCCTCCTGTGTTCTATTCGAAACCCAAGAGAATAATAATATTATTATTCTGGACAAAGTGTTTACATAATTAGAGGTTAATGGGTAGATGGTGACTAGCACAAGGGAATCCACCAGGATGTGCATTTCGTCCTATTTGGGACTCATCAGCTAGCGGATGTACCTGCATTCCCTAGTGAGTCAGTGATGATGTTCCCACCGACGCACGAATCCAGTGCCCATAGTTTCAAACGCCAAAGCGTTATCATCCACTAGACCACTCGGGCCATGAGAGCCACTTCTCACAGATCAACAGGTTTGATAATTGTCATAAATTGAGACTAAGTTAAGTCGTGAACAATTGTAAGTAATTAATGCCAAGTCATGGGCCCTTTAAAAAGATTTCGAATATTGTTGACTATGACTCTTAAAATTAGACATCTAGCGAATTGCCTGTTGCTTCCGTTAAAGAAAAGACTGTGGTGGGTGACATGGATCCTATCGGATCACACGTTTTCATATCTATAGAGAAGCCATAGAAACAAACAGATCAACAGGGTAAGGTCACCAAGTCAGGTGACAGGATACTTACCCGCCGATGAAAACATCTGGCCGCTGCGCTACATATAACACGAATTAGCAGAAGTTGGTATTCATAAGATAGTAACTGGATCGCGTCTCAGTAGTTAGAGGAATAATTCACGAGATCTCCTTGTAACCGGAAGGTTGCATGTTCGAACCCTAGTGGTTTCGTACTGATGAAGCGTCCAAAACTAGGACGAAGACAGTTGTTCAGAACTCAATGGTTTCCCAATGATCAATCATAAGCCCGAATAGCCCAGTGGTGGTAAAGTTTCTGACTTTAGTTCTTGGTGAGTGAGGGTTCGAGTCTCAGAAGGGACATGAACTCCATGAATATTGTAGACAAGTCTTGTCCACTGGGAAATGCCAACAAGCACAAAAACTAGGTCCAGAAAAGGCTTGCTCTCGATTGCCCTACCATTCACATTCTTGTATATTTTATGGATTTTAATCTATGGTATGGCATCGAATTCATCGATTGTCATCAGTAATTATTCAAAATTTCAGTCTCCCTTACTAATTCTGACAACCATAAATTCAAGTCAAAAGTTTCTCTTTATAATACAATGGGAGCAGTTTAGTAATAATAAAAAGAACGTTGATGATAACAATAAAGACGTTGAAGGTGAAGTTGAAGTGGAATGGATTGAAGTGGTAAAAAATAGAATAAAATTAACAAAGAACATTACTATGACCACAAGGTAAAGAAAGGGGTTTAACAAAAACATTTATGAACACATAACTTAGGTTTCTTCAAGTGTTGGTTTGTAGGGATTTGATTGGTTTCAGGATTTTCATCATGAGCTGACATCGGTTAGAGAACCATTGGAAAACCAGCTGGGAGTACTAGACAGCTGTTTCGTCGGCCTAGTTTGGGACTCTTCAGCAGTACGCAGCCACGGGGATTCGAACCCAGGACCTTCTGGTTACAAGGTTAGTGAGCTCGTAGACCATTAAGCCACTGGGACCCGATCCAATGGTCCATGAATTCTAACTTCTGCCAATTCAAGACATAGCGCGACCCCTAGCCAATGTCTTCGGCGAGTATTTGTCCTCACACCCGACCTGCTGCACCCTACTGGTCACGACTTCTCGCTAGAACCCCAGGCAACTACCTACCTGAATAGGGCAAGTCACTAGTGAGCATCTCATTGATATTCAAGTGTTGGTTTGTAAGGTTTCTGTTTACATAATGTACAGAATTCTCAGCGAACTCTCTTGCATAATATTTTCTCTTTATCCAGAGAATTCAAGTTATATGAAAATTTATCGCATATCCTAAGAGAAGAGTGGTGGTGTTCCTTCCAATAAAACTCATTATTATTTCAAAAACCTTATTCTACTCGGCGACTGAATCACAACAGCCACTACTATTGTGCATCAGATATATCCGTGGTTTATTTGGTTAAGCTAATTTGAACTTCATTCAGCGAAAAAAATATTCGAACTCTATCGAGATTATGTTGGTAGTGGTTAATTGATGGTATTTAGTACTGGAATACGGTGAGTGCGTCTCATTTTGTGCTGCACTTGTCACTACTATCTATAATCTATAGATGATGTGAGTACATATATAGCTGAAGAGTCCCAAACAGGACGAAATCTAAATACTTCAGTTTACTGCTGACTCCCACACACACACACCCCAAACCAAGTAACACCATTAGACGGTTGGAGACAACCGGCAGGAAGCTCTGTCTGGACATAGGTTTCCTCTTCCTGTTGTCACTTCTGATATTCGAACCCGTGCCAGCAAGAGACATCACCACTGAGATATTCGCGCTAGCAACTGATCTCTTGTAGGGCTGACACTAGCTAGTTTCATGCATCTGTAATCCTTTGTTTGTCACGGACTGAATTGCTATCAGTCAAGTTTGCACAATATGATCATCATCGGTTCGAATCTTAGAAGAGATGTGAATTCCTTCAAGAGATTCAAACCGGTGATGACCATATTGTGCAAACTTGACTGATAGCAATTCAGTCTGCAGCAAACAAACGATTACATATGCATAACACTAGTTAGTGTATGTGTGTCTAGTTAAGTAATATCATGTTAACATTGAAGCATCGTTAAAACCTCTATGTGTACTAAGGAAACGACACATCAACAAGAACGAAGCATTTCACAGTCCAATGAAAATTGACCTAGAAGAAGGAATTACCAGATAGATAGAAATACACCACAATAAATAGGTAATTGCATGGAGGATTTCATCATGAACTGACATCAGTTACAGAACACCACTGGAAAACCTGGATCAGGTCCCAGGGACTCAGTGGTCTACGAGCTAGCTCGCCTTGTGGAAGGTGCTGGGTTCGAACCCTGGCGATGGGTGCGTACTGCTGAAGAGTCCCAAACTAGGCTGACGAAACAGCTGTCTGGTAGTACTCCCAGCTGGTTTTCCAGTCGTTCTCTAACTGACGTCAGCTCATGATGAAATCCTCCAGACAATCAAACAAAATCAATACTTGAAAATAATAGGTAATTTATACAACGTTGAAGAATATCATCATTACCTTTATTCCCAGGTCTAGCGCAATCTAAATCACACCATGGACATTTCAGATCAGTAGATACACACCAATGGCATAAATTATCCCCGTATACAAAACCATATGATACTGGATAATATGGAAATGGTGAATTTGTTGGCAGCACTGTACGCTGATTGACTTCTTCTAGCCCTCCGTTTCCTCCTCGTCGTCGTCCTCCTCCATCAGCTGCTGCTGCCGGAACAACCGATGATTCAGAATGATTCATTTCATGTACATGATCTGATGCTGCTGTTGCTGCTGCTGCCGATGATGATGATAATGACAGATCTTGATCCATACTACTATTGCTTAGATGATTACCATTCATACCATTTGTATTATGAGATTCTGTTGTTGAGAGTCTTGTTGTAGGACTACTGTTACTCTTCGCAGATGTGTTCAATTGATGATTTTCACGACTCAAGGAATTTGTCATGGATCCTTCGTGAGGAAAAATACAGACAGAGAGAGAGAGAAAAAAAATCGATTTAAGCACTACTACTAGTCATAGAAATAAATAACCCAAATAAAGAGAAAATGGACGGGGTGGCGATGGGCTCCCCATTGGGTCCCATTTTTGTGGTGAGAGCTGGCTGCTAGCCAAAGTTGGTAGACAGTAATTGACTTCAATGTTTATGTCCCCAATATTGGTGGTGAGAAAATGGGAACAAAGGCTTTGCGTAGGCGGATACAGTGAGCATATAGATGATCTGATACAGTCACAAAGAGATGCAAGGTTAACTTTCTGTGAGAAACAACCACCAATTAAAAGACTGTATTTTCTACTAACAATAATCTATAATAATGTACATTAAAATCTATAAATATGTGTTGACTTTCCCTAATAAACGATCTGTTGCCTGGCCTTTGTCTTCTGTTGTTACCTTTTGGTTGATCTCTTTCGAAGTAAGCTAGAAAATATACCTTTGAACTCCCACCTTATCAGAAATTTCTCATTTTATTGCCGGTATATGGATGACACCTTCATTCTTTGTGATAATTATTCGGATGATAGGAATACAATAATTACTGAATTCAATGAAGTACATTCGGCTATGAAATTCACGTACGAAGAGGAATCCCAAGACACAATTCTTTTCATGGATGTCCTCCTTACAAGAAAACCAGATGGTAGCATAAAAATAAGTTTGCATAGAAAAAGTACTTGGACAGGACAATATACACATTTTCAAAGCTTCGTTCCTACCAAGTACAAAAGAAATTTAGTGAAGACCCTCAGCCAGAGAGTTAGAGCTATATGCTCAGAATAAGTAATTGAAGATGAATTAAGCATTGTACATGATACCTTGATTGAAAATAACTACCCCGAAAAATTTATCAAGAAACACAAGAGAAAAAAAGCGGAAAAGGACTACTCGATATCTGTAAACAAGAAGCCACTTTCCATACGACTGCAAATCAAGGGTGATATACCAAGTGAGATAATTACGAGGAAATTAAGAAAATCAGTTCAAAGAGCTTTTATTGCTGGCGAACTACACGTCTTATTCTCTACATGACCGATGGTGCTACCTTGACTGAAAGATGAAGTACCCAGTCTAGCCGGACACTTCAAATTGTATCTACCAATTCAACTGAGCTTGTCGTGGAGTGAGTTATATTGGCCGTTGCTCTAGGAACTTGATTTTTCGTGCTCGAGAACATAAGTAAAGGTGTAGTTAAAACAATTAACAGTTCGATATTAGACCATGTGATGCGAACCGGCCACAAAGCCAGAGTAGAAGAATCCTTCTCTATAATCTACCGGGTGTCTAATAAATTGCCAAAATTATCGAAGCACTGCATGCTCCAAACAGCAGAGGCTATTGCAATTCGCCTCAAACAGCCAGTGCTCTGTGTTCAAAAGAAGCAAGGTCAGCCCCTACTACTGCCCTGGCCAGCTTTCAGTAGAGACTATAAATTCATGAAGTCTGCATTATTATCTCCCCTAATTTTTCTGACATTCTGCTTATTTTTATGCTGATGCTATTGAGCTGTAATCTATCAATGTTATTTAAACTGCATTACTGCTGTTCATAACACTAATTCATTCATTCACTATAATGTATATATAACTGTAGAGCCTGATGATGAAGTTATCGGAAAGAGTATTCTTTGTTCAGTAAACATTCTTTTGGAAATCCTAATGGGCATTCTTAATCAGTCAAATAAGAAATAAACAAGAACTTTTTTTGAATAAAAGTAAAGGCATTTCGATAAAATATTCAAATAATTTTGAAGTCTAGCTAAGTGCGAATGTAACCGTCTGTGCGCGTAAGACTATACTGACTGACTTATTTCAACACAGAATCTTGCACAGAGGTGCAGCAGTTCGAGTTGTCACACTCCCTCCACGTAGCACACAAAGCAAGAGAAGAAAGCAGAAGAAATGCAAAATAGAGGCAGTAGACGGAGATACGAAGCAAAAAGAATAGTAATATCGAAGAACAGTATAGTTTTATTGGGTTTTATAAGTCACAAGGAGGAGATGCATCTGCTCTGTCATTCAGAACGATTTTGAAACATATCACCGATCGTCTCCAGCCTTCATTGGTTTTTACCGTCCAGAGGACCCCAACCACTCAGGAAACCAGTCTACACCTTCCTACGTGGCTGGCCGACTGGCTTAAACTAACTGTTGTGGATTTCATTGACTGATGAAGCCTTGTTTTGGTCCGACCACCACTTACTAGCTCTTTTCCAGTCTGACCCTATGTCAGCTAACATTGTCCGTCAAGCAAGGCGATGGCTAGGCTAGGCATGCGTAGCACATATCCTAACCGCCTGAGTCGATGTAACTTCACAGACTCGTCGATTGATTTCTCCTCCTTACCTAGCTACTCCACCAATGCCTAACCTCACTATTGCTCACCCTATTATACCAGCACTTGACACGGGAGATAGACAGCTAGTCTTTTCATGTTTTCCACTCTCAATGGCTAGGTCTCAGCCATAAAGGAGGATACAGCGAAGTGCTGAACAGTGGCACACGTCCTTTGGTCGACAGCCAGCCAGGTATCAAGTCTACTAGTTCAGAGACGGCATACACCGGCATATGCAATACTAGCCTTCTGTATCCTTACTGAGATTTCTTCAGAGATCAACCTGCTGGTGTCGGCTGATGCAAATTCCCAAATAAGTGAAGCGATCAACATGCTCTACCACTTCACTCCCTATTTCTAAACTAGGAGTCAGTGTAGTCCAGTCCTGTAACATCATCTTACATTTGGCAGCAGGAGCGAATCGCATGTCTAACATTCGTAGATTGCTGCCCCTCAATGTGTTCAGAAGACTCTGCTTTATTTTGTCAGCGTCTTCACCAAGTAGGCAGGACTATATCATCTGCATATTCCAAGTCAACGAGATTATCCCCTGATAGCAGGGAATATTAAAATATTACATATTCAAAAATAAGCTGTACAAATAAATAAAGGAATCAACTCACGTGTGTGTGAAACTCGACCTTCCACGGGGGAATCTATATGATTACTATTAATTTTATTATTAGTAGTATTAGTATTATTCTTTGTATCTTGACTACGAGTTCCTATTAATCGTGATAATGAAGTTGTTTCATTATTATTATTACTAACTACTGGTTTCTTATGCCATACAACAGAGAATCGTAGACGTGGCCAACGTGAATATTCATCGATAGCAGTAGATGCTTTAGGAAATCGTATACGTTTCCATTCAACGGGACCAGAACATGTACTATCCACTTGTTCACTAACTGGAGGAGAATTAACTGGTATAGTTTTACTATTAATAGTAGTTGCAGCAGTTGTAGTACTGCAAGTCGATTCAATGATGTCTGATGAATCCACACCAAGTCTTAGTTCATAATAACCAGGAGTTAATTGAAATTGACGAAGTGCACTGGAGGTATCTGAAAATAAAAACAAAAAAAGAAGAAGAAACTGAATTAGTAGATAGAAAATTGAGAAAGTAAATATTTAAGCTCAGCTATTCAGAAAAGATTTCTTATGTATCTTGAGGGTTATGAGGTGAACTTATTGTGTGTGACAGAGAACTAATGATACCTACGTAGTTGCTGGTTGCTGAGGCTGAGAATTAGGTGGAATAAGACTCAAGCTCGAGACGTATTGGTTGTAATTGTGAATGAACATAAGCATCATTTGTAGAAGATAAAATGTTAACGCAGATAACTCAGAGTTTAACTCTGTCCTACTCTACCTACTGAGATATAGTTACAGAAAGTTAAGGGCATATGAGGTTAGAGGTTTTTAAATTATGTGATTTGTTAATTTTATTATTGGTGTGTGTGTGTTGTGGGATCACAAACTTCAATGAGGAAAGCAAGTGTTAATCAGTGTTACCGTGAATTCTTACTATGCTATCATAGCTAACTGTATCTGCGTAACTGAGCCTTTTGGTATGAGATGGTTGGAGGCAATCGGCCACAGGAAGCCTTCGACCTAGGTTTCGTGCTAGTTGGCACCCATCAGCAAGGCACATCTGCAACGTTGAAGGAACTCATGTCCCTTCTGAGATTTGAACCCGCGTCACCCAGTGATTTCTGCAGTCAGAGACGTTGCCACTGAGCCAGCTATTCGGGCTCGCGATTGACCTCCTGTAGGACTATATTGGATATTTTTGATTGCACGCTAACAATTCACAGTGCACCGTAATGGCGAGCCACCTAGCATGGTGGCCATATTGCAAGTGTGACTGATAGAATTCAGTCTGTAGTGAAGATAGGACTAGACACATTACACTAGTTACTGACTAGTGTGTAATCAAAAATAATTGAGCCTGTGTGATGGATGGGGGGGTGAGAGTTCAACTGCGAAGTTTTCATTGTCCTACTGTGGTGAGAGAGCTGTCTGCCACCCAAAATTGTAAACAACAGCTAACGTCAATGTTTACGTCCCAAATCGGGGTCATGAGAAAAACAAAACAAAGCTTAACCTTGCAGAACTCAACAACCAATCACAGCAGACTTAGCGTGGTCGGATACGATTCGCAGATATATATCACCAGACTGTCTAAGAAACGGCAACAAAGAGATGACAGAATATAACCTTCAGCAAGAAAAAACAACCAATCAGAAGACGTTGCTTTTCTGCAAACAATAACCAATAATACTGTACATAAAAATCTATAAATATCTCTTGATTTTCTCGAAATAAACGATCTGTTGCCTGGCCCTTATCTCCTATCATTACACTACTGCACAGTTCGAGGAGACAGATGAAATTTCACCGCAGTTTCTTTTGAAAACAGCAATTACTTAGATCACACATAATACTGTGATCTGCCTGATACCACAAATGGTTAACTAAGCACAAATGCCCCTCAAGTACCTAGCCAGAAATGGGGTGAATTGAACTGAATTACACCGGGTGCACTGATGATGAGCTGCACCTCAAAGGAGCGAAACAACTGTCCTGTGTTCACATCACTTCCATCTGATGAGCAAACACTACTGGTTGATGTGAATAGTATACAACTACCCATCTCAATCAATCCGTGTACTTGAAGGATTCTAGACATATGAAGGAAGTTGCTTTTTATTAGATGATTGGAGGCAATCATCAGGAAGCCTTGGACCTAGGGTTTGTATGCTTGGTAACATTCATTCACCAATCATCAAGGAGGTGTATTTTCTATCGTGAAAGTACTCATCATAGCCCTTCTGAGATTCGAATCGATATCATCACCACCACCACCCAGTGCTGTAGTCAAAGACGTTACCACTGATAGGATTCAGCCTGCACGAAACAAACGACTAGGTGCATGGCATTACTTATTATCTAGTGTCCAATCAAAAGAAGTTACTTCTTCAAAAAAGAGAATAAATCCTCTTTATCACCAGAGAAACAAGTCTTTTCTGATACCGCAATTTAGAGTTATGCTAACAAAGTTAATAAACGTTGAGAAACACTGAAATGTACTCATTCACATAAATGTTACATATCAGTAGTGTCTTCGTAGACTCAACAGTTAGTATTCATATAAATAATGTTTGAAATCAATTATTCTCGGGATAGAGGTCTTTCATGTACCTGGCTGAAATTCGTAACTAGAACCTCTACTGACTGACAGTTGAGTGTGCTTAAACCAACCAGCCCACATCTTTACTCAACATCATTAACAGGATAAACCAATATAAGGGGGGGAGTCAGTGGTTCAATGGTGTGTTTCAAGGTCAAACCCCGGTTGAACTGCTCCACTAAACCTCGCCTAGTTTCCTAGACAGTGAGGGAAGGTTGGGGGAGGGGGTGTGAAGTTAGAGAATTCATCCCGTAGAAGCAACAACATTACAGCTAGCTAATGAAACTTCCAAAGAGCTTGAAGACGTTGTATGTTCCACTCAGAATACAAAAGAATGAAAAACAAACAGACAAGCACATGCGTACTGATGTCCAAGAAAAGAGGATTTTTGAATTCATGACCGAACGTTTTCAATAACAACACAATTGAATCAATGGTCACAAGGTGAAAAACTAGAAGAGTACATTGTTCAAGTTTTATCAAGAGAAGTAATTGACGAACAGGGTCACTTCTCTCACTTATCGTTTCAACTACTACTACTACTACGGGCGCAGTGGTACCGATGAAGATGTCAAAGCCAACCAGGATCAGAAATGCAAGACAGACATTCAATACCCACTCCGAGATCAGTGTGGAAATCTGTTGCGATCAGTATAACGGACAAGATACGGATTTTCAACACTGATGTGTAAGTCAGTCAGTACTTCTATATGTTGGTTCAGAGACTTTAAACGGGCGTGTCACTAAAAGAGTTTCCACCGACGATCGGCTTCACTCCATAATGAAGATCAGACCATCTGTCGGAAAGGATGAGCGACAGGAAACTCTTGGAGAAAACAAACCACGAACATATTGCCCAATAAATAACCCGAAAGAAATGCAGGTGAATAGGACACACAGGCGCCACATTGAGGAGACAAGCCAGTGACATCACGCAACAGCCTCGAATGGGAAACAGCGAGTTCAGCATGAATTCGAGAGAGATATGGAGGAGATCGTGTGAGAAGATGAGAGGATATAGGCAATTGTGGGGCCAACTAAGGAGGATTGTAGAGAATAGGATGAAAGAGAGATGAGCAGTTGAAGGAGGGGAAATCAATCGATGAGGCTATGAAGCTACATCAACTGGGATGGTTAGTCTGTCTGTCTGTCTGGATTCAACATAGAACTTGGCACCGAAGTGCAGCAGTGAGAGTTGCCACGTTCCAAATAGCACACAAAGGTAGACAAGAAAATGAGTGAAGAGAATCAATACAGTTTTGACAAGTATAAGAGTGAAACAGAATGAGTAATGGTAGAAAGGAATATGAAAGATTACAGAGACTGAATAAATCTGCACCATTGACAACGATTTTGAGCCATGTCGCCTATTGTCTCCAGCCATTGATTCTTAGAGTCCCAAGGGCGGGCCCCAACCCGGAAGTCTGCATCTCCCTCCCTACCTGACTCAGTTTAACTGTCAGGGATTTCATGGATTGGATAAGGCCATGTTTTTGTTTGGCCACCACTTACCCTTTTCCAACCTGCACCTATATCAGCTAGTAATGCCCGTCGGAGGAGGCGATGGTTAGGCATGCGCAACACCTGACCTAGCCATCTCAATCTATGTAACTTCATAGCCTCTTCGAGTGATTTGCCCTCTTTACCCAACACTCTACGCCTAATGTCAACATTACTTACCTTATTATGCCACCTAACGTGAGAAGGAGATCGTAAACATCTGTGGTCAAAAACAGACATTTCCATGTCTTCAACTCGTATTGGCCATGTTTCAGAGCCATAGAGGACGGAGCGAACTGCTGAGCAGTACACACGTCCCTTGGTTGATAGCCAGATGTCACGCCTACGCCAGAGACGGTGTAAGTTAGCGAAAGCAGCTCGAGCTTTTTGGATCCGTTCTGAGATTTTGTCGCCAATCAGTCCGTTGGTGCTGATACAACTTCCCAAATAGGTGAAGTGGTCAACATGTTCTATCACTTCACTCCCTATCACTAAGCTAGGAGTTGACGTAGTCCAGTCCTGTAGCAGCATCCTACACTTTACAGGAGTAAATCGCATGCCAAACATTCGTAGATCGCTGCCCCTCAAGGTGTTCAGAAGACTCTGCATTTTGTCAGCATCCTCCTCTAACAGGCCTGGGTACTAGTGGGAAGTCGTGACCAGTAAGGTACAGCCGGTTGAAGGTGAGGACAGTTACTCATAGAAAAAGACACTGTGTGCAGTGGTCACGCTATGCTATGTTATGAAGTGGCAGAAGTTGGAATTCATGGACTGACTGGCCATTGAGGAGTCGGGTCCCAATAGTGGCTTATTTGGTCTACGTGCTAGCTCGCCTTTTGTAACCAGAAGGTCTTGGGGTTCGAAAGCTAGCGGTGGGTGCGCACTGCTAAAGACTCCCAAACAACTCCCCACTGCTTCTCTACCAGATGTCAGCTCATGATGAAACCCTTCAACCAATTCAATTCTATCAGTTAAGGTATAGACTGACAAACAATCCATAGGAAATATTAAACTACCCTAACATGCTTTAAAAAAGACGGGGGGTGGGGGGGGGTTATAAACGATGAATAACTTAAATAACTTACTGAAATTGTAAGGCGTAGTGATCATAGGCAAAGGAGCTGTCACATAATGCACAGGATAAGAGGCTACACTTAAACCACTTTTACGGTTGACTGGATTCTCCTGTAAGATGAATGATGAGGATGAAGAGGATGGTGTTGACGGTGTAGACGTCGATTGTAATGTAGTAGTATTAGTATTAGTATTATTCTGGTCAGTAGGCGAATTCATTCTCATACTTGCTGGAATGCCTTTCGCACAACTATGCATATCTGGACGTTTTAACAAGCGTTTTTCAACCGCGGAAACATGTAATTCTAGTTGAATACTTGTTAATCGACTACCAGACACCTGCCAGTCAACTTCATCGAGTAGATGAGTTATAGAAAAACGACACGTATTCATATTATTATTATGATTATTATTTGTCCCCTGTTTACGTTTATCATCTTTTTCATGAGTATTATTATTATTGATATGAGCACCACTGCAGCCATTTGAGGTGTTGTTAGTTAATGAAACTGAGTTGGTGTTAGTTGTGATAATTGTACTGTAACCAGTTGAATGACTATAACAATTCATGCGTATTGGATGGTTAGTTATCTTGACAAGTGTATCATTGGGACACATTTTACGCCGCCATGCCCAACCGAATCGTAGACATATACTGACAGAAGCCTTTGAGATAAATTTTAAAAAAAGATAAATAAATAAATATTAGCATATATTGTGGAGATAGGCAAATATTATTTCACGTAAAAAAAACTGATTATATATATATATATATATATATATATATGAAAGTGAACATTGTAATCAGACAGTGACCTGGGATTCTAGTAGGAAGTCGTGACCAGTAGGGTACAGCAGGTTGAATGCAGATGAGGCAGTAAGTCATCGAAGAAGACAATGCGCGAAGTGGTCGCGCTACGCTATGTCGTGAATTGGCAGAAGTTACAATTCATGAACTGGCCATTGAATAGAGTCCCAGTAGCTCAATGATCTACGACCTCGTCTTGTAACCAGAAGATCTTGGGTTCGAAGCCCGGTGGGTCGGTACTGCTGAAGAGTGACCGTTTTCCATTGACGATAATAACCAACAAAAATTCTACTTATATACATATGGAAGCGTAGTTGTGAAACACTCAGTATGACTGATTGATGCATTCTTTATACACTGTTTGAAATGACCATCAATCATCTTCCAAGCTCACCATATTACTATTAAAATAGGAATGCTATTTAGTACCTGTAATACTAGCGAGAACAGTGTGGGATGCATTGAAAGCAAAGATCTCCAGCAAGAGTATACCTCACAAAAGTGAAACGGCGAATGGGAATATCTGGTGCTTTACACCCGAACTAGTGTAGGACACATGAAGGTGTACTACCTAGAGGGGTTCTAGAAAACCCTGATTCGAAACCCCACGCATGGGCTCCAGAATCCAAAAGGCGCATGGACACCTGTTTTGGTTCTGATTCTGCTCCCAGTGTGACTTGCAAATCAGACTCCCGTCTGTCTGTCTCTTTTCAACATAGAACTTTGCACCCATGTGCACCAGTTCGAGTCGTCACACTTCACTCAGCACACAAAGCAATAGAAGAAGATAAAAATAAACCCAAAATAGAGGTAGTAGACAGGGATATGAGACAAAAGGAATAGTAATAACGAAGAACAATATAGTTTCATTGGAAATTATAAGTCACAAGGAGTGGATGCATCTGCTCTGTCATTGAAAACGATTTTAAGCCGTATCACCGATTGTCTCCAGCTTTCACTGATTTTTACCATCCAGAGGACCCCAACCACTCAGGAAGCCAGTCTACACCTTCCTAAGTGACTAGGTGGCTTAAACTAACTGTTGTGAATTTCATTGACTGATGAAGCCATGTTTTGGTTTGACCACCACTTACTAGCTCTTTTCCAGTCTGACCCTATGTCAGCTGACATTGGCCATCGAGGAAGGCGGTGGCTAGACATGCATGTGTAACACATGTCCTAACCATCTCAGTCGACGTAGCTTCACAGCCTCGTCGATTGATTTCTCCTGCCTCCTTACCTAACACTCGACCGATGCCTAACCTCATTATTGCTATCCCTATTATACCACTTCACACAGTAGATAGAACGCGAGCACCTATCCACAAAGACAGCTAGCCTTTTTATGTCCTCCACTCTTAATGACCAGGTCTCATAGCCAGTAATAAAGGAGGACGAAGCGGACTGCTGAGCAGTACACACGCCCTTTTTTCTATAGCCCGCCGGATATTATGTCTACACCAGAGACAGCATAAATCGGCATATGCGAAACTAGCCTTCTGTATCTGTGCTGAGATTTCGTCAGCGATCAACCCGTTGGGGCTCCAAGTCAAAGTCTCGGTGAAAGAGTGACTTCTTAAGACTACCTTCTGCTTTAGTGTGGGCGTCTGAGCAGCATTATCTCACCCCTTGCACAAATGATCTGACCTTGTGCGGCGCATCCTCATGGTGTCTATAATGTGAACGTCTCAAAAAACTTCAGCAATAAGCGGATCACAATGTACACACACTATAGTGGTATACAAAACAGATTGATAGAGTGCTGTTAGACTTGATAGGTGCAAAAGCATGAGCAAATTATATAACAACACTCCCACTATATACTACTTACATTTACAGTGACCCATTCCAATTCTTTTTCACTATCAAAAAATCCATCAAAAATTAATTCTAATTCCTGAGGCCATTCACCGGGAGGTAATAAGGAATGATCAAGCTTCAATGCTTTACTAGACGCTAATGATTGATTATGCAGACAGTTTTGTTTTAATCGGTTGACAATCTCTTCGAGGGATGGACGCGGACCTAAAAACCAAAAATAAAACAAATATGCACAGAAATTAGAAGAATCAAAATATTACATTGCAATTCGTGATTTAGTGCGACCCCAACCAATGTCATCGGTGGGATATCTATCCTCACACGTGACGTCTGGATGGACCTCACTGGTCACGACTTCTCACACTAGAACTCCAGGAAACTCCCTCCTGTAGCCAGTAGTCACTAACGAGCATCAGATTAATTTTTTTAGTTTGGTTTATAAGCGTTAGTTATGTTTTTACGAGTTAGAATTCATGAGCCATTGAATCGGGTCCCAATGGCTGAATGGTCGTCAACGAGCTTGCCTTGTATAACCGGAAGGTCCTGGGTTTGAATCCCAGTGGATGATTCCGAAAATACTAGGATGAAACAGCTGTCCAGTACTCCCTGGTTTTCAATGATTCTCTAACTTATTTCAATCCGTGATCAACTCGTAAAAACATAACTAACCCTTACAAAACAAACTATAGAAAATAATACATTGCAAAGGAAAGCATATAGATAGAGGGATCCGGGTGAATGGCTTAAGCAATCGGTTTCCAGCCCCTTGTATGTGTGTGTATGTCATAGGTTCAAGTTCGACTCCATCTACTCTAATCTGAGCAACTAGATGGTAAGTATGTAACTGTGGCTTTTAAAATGATATATTAAAAAATCTGTTCCGACTAATTGATTCAGTTGTTTGAAGGTGAGAAACAATTTGAAATGAGTTCGATCATGGGTGGATATCAATTAGAGAACCATTAAAAACCAACACAGAGTACTGGAGAGTCAGTCAGCTCTTTCTTCCTAGTTTGGAATGCCTCAGAAGTACACGCCCACAGGAGTTCGAACTTAGGATGGCCACTGGGTCTTGATCCAATGACTCATGAATTCCGACTTTGAACAGTTTGTGATTTATTAGCACAACCACAAGCCAATATCATCGGTAAGTATTTTTCCTCACACCCAACCTGGTACACTGACTGACCGCTTTCAACATCGAACTTTCCACAGATGTGCACCACTTCAACTTGCCACTCTCTCTTCATGTAGCACACAAAACAAGACAACAGAGTAAAGGGAGGCCCAAAACACAGATAATAAGCACTGAGGGAAAAGCAATAGTACTATAGAACAACAATGGAGTTTTACTGGGTATAACCAGTCACAAAGAGTGAATGCGTCTGCTCTAGCCATCACTGAGAACGATTTCGAGCCAGCCACATAACCAGTTGTCTTCAGCCTTCATTGGTTCTCACCACCAGGAAGAACCCAACCACACAGCCAGACAGTCTACACTTTACTACGTGACTGGCTGGCTAGCTTAAACTAACTGTTGTGGATTTCATTGCCTGACGAATCCAGGTTTTAGTTTGACCACCACTAGCTCTTTTCATCTTGTAACCAGTCCCTAGCAAACCTTAGACTAATTTTCAAGAGTTCCTTTGTTCCCTATAAAAGAGGCCTAGATTCAAGAAGGGAATATACAGCTGTTATCGTACATCACAAATGTTTCAAATGGCACAGAAACCAATTTGTGTGAAGGAAAAGGTTAGGTTTTCATTCACTCTGAAAGATGAACTGTTTCTACGTGTTGACACTGTGAAACACAATGAAAGCTTAACAACAGTTTGTAACTTTCTTCAGATTAGAGAAGTGTCTTCTATGGTGACAATTAAAGTTGCTTTAGTGAAAATGCTACCAATTATAGTCTATTCACATAAACGATAGGGAGGAATTAAAAGGCTTAATAACCACTCCTGCTTGGTTAGTTAGTTAGATAGTTGAATTGCTCGAACAAAGAAACAATATTGTAGGAGGAGAAGGTGAATATCATTCATCAAGCTATTGCGTGGTTTCACATTTTATGAACCACATTAGTGGGACTGAGAGATCTAGAGGCATGGTCAAACTGTTTTATATATGTGTAAAACTTGGGCACTGTGGTAGTAAGTAATTTCATATTAGTTTGTTTATTAGATGTATCACACAGTGAAACAGTATTATTTACTGGATGACATTTCGAACAAAATTTATTGTTCATAATCATGCCATCAATTGTGATCACACGACTTTGACACTTGAGTTTTATAGTTTTCTTTGTTTTCTCCTATTTGTCGTAGGGGTAGTAGAATTTTCCAGATATCTGGGACAGGTGAAGAATAACTCCTATTACATGTATTTGCAGTTGATTAGACAAATAAAACTGCTTTAGTTATCCGTCTCTCCCTCCACCATGCTGTTACACTAGATTTTAAAACTGTCATCCTATCCCATCCTATTGAATGGTCGTGTGTGACTGCATGTAGTGCTATAGCTGAACTATTCTCTAGATTTCTTGTCTTATTCGGGTCAGCCAATCTAGATTTTGCTAAGTTTTTATGTTCAGCTAGTCTGACTGCCCCTGTTCTACTAGTTTGACCTGTGTATTTGACCTGACAATCATTCCAGCAGGGTATTAGATAAACTAAATTGTTTTGTTTTAAAGGCTACACAGGACTGATCCTTTAACCGACAAAGCTTGTTTCTAATTGAGTTTGTGGGTTTTAATGCCATTTTTATTCCTGCCTTGTTAAGAATTCTGCGTAAGGCTTCCGAGGTTCCTTCCTTGAATGGAATTACTACTGATGATTTAGATTCCTTATTGTTGGTGTCGTCATTAATATTATTATTATCACTATTATTATTATTATTATTATCATTATTATTGTTATAATCACTATCGCTAGTGTCATTATTTATTTTATTTTTACATTTCCTTACATATTTCCTGACTAATTTATCCGGGAGTCAAACTGTTTTGCCATTATATATTTGTTTCGAACAAAAACTTGGCATAAAATGGGCACCAAAAGATGAGCAACACAACAATATATGAGGAAAGCAGGTAGAGAATGAGTGAGTAAGGGGTGCCTCATCCAGAAAGCAAGCAACCATACTTGTCAAGACCGTTCACAACATTCATCACTTCATGCTACTGTCAGAATCGGGAGGAAAAGGCAAGGAAATTGCAGCATGTAGGCGATTGATTATTACGATTCTTGGCCGTATTTGATAACTTTTCTGACCAGCAATTTGAATTACCTCTACGTCATAGTTTGACCAACCTTTCAACTTCTTCTATCCAGCCCCAGGGTTAGCGAACAGCGACATCCGTAGCACATGTCTAAAGCCGCCGAAGCCGATGGTGGTGCCACAGGACGACACTCAATGGATGATGTGTGACGATACAGAGCCAAAGATAGCCACGTTGGATACCTATTTACTGATACATAGCGACTAAGCAGGATTGCAGAGTTTATGCAGTTTAGTAGTGCGCGTCAGTGGTTCAACGGGTAGAACGCTCGCCGACCACATATGCGGTCCTGGGTTCGATCCCCGGTCGATGCATCCCTTTACCTCGTTATGGCCAATAGTAAGCCCGGTAAAGAGGAAAAGTTGGGGCGTGGAACTCGCAACCCCACCCACCCCACCCGTAAAAAATAAGCCCTATGTTCCAATGGGAACGTAAGGGAATTTTTAAAAATGTGCAGTTCAGTGGTACAAAATTATTTTTTAAAAATACATTTAGAACTAACCACTTCGCTTTCTAACTCATCAAATTTTCAATGCCATAAATCTTGACAAAATTCCAAACACACACACACACACAAACACCTCCTTCTGAGTCTTAGTTACAAAAGAATAAATATGACGGCAGTAACTTCGACACTTACGTGGTAACCGTTTGCCAGTAACACTCGGCATTAGATAACTGAGATTACGATAAGCAAATAATCGACGCACACGATGACGTTCAGCAAGATATTTATACAAATGCGTTGGAACTGCAAATGTATCTATAAATCCTTGAAAATCTTTGATTAAATCTTCAGTGGAAATTTCACCAACCATACTACTGGAGGTGGATTTTCTACGAGTATTTGCTTTTTTTGCATTAATGTAAGGCAATTTTGAAAATGCATTCGAACGATGATATTTCCGTTTAACACGAACTAGTTGAGAAGCAACACCGGCACCGCCGCCTCCACCACGATCACGACCACTGCCAGCAGCAGCAGCGGCATTGTCATTAGAGCCATTCTCTGTTGTGATTTCAGGATATTTGTAAGCCTGACACAGTCCATTGGGAATAACACGACGCCTGTATTGTCTTTTTGCGGCGTAGACAACAGTATGTGTACCTTGTCTTGACTTTAGACTGTGAACATTAGAACAACTAGCAATACAACAGTAAACTCCACGTTGACGTCTAGTCTGAATAAGTTAGAACGGGGGGAAAACAAAATTTCACATTGCGTTACATTATCCAGTTAATAAGGAAGTAATATGATTAAAGAGATGAAGCACATATATATACTGAGTGTTTCAACATAGAACTTTGTACAGAAGTGCACCGGATAAAAAGTTGCTAACACATTCCATGTAGAACGGTCGGTCGATCGGTCGGTTTCCGACATAGAACTTTGCACATATGTGCGGCAGTTCAAGTCGCCACACTCCCTCCATGTAGCACACAAAGCAAGAGAAGAAAGTAGAAGAACTGCATAATACAGACAGTAAACAGAGGTGTGAGACAAAGGAATAGTAATAACGAAGAATAAAACAGTTTAATTGGAAATCGTAAGTCAGTCACAAGGAGTGGATGCATCTGCACCAGCCATTGAGAACGCTTTTGAGCCATATCACCAATTGTTTCCAACCATTGGTTTTTACCGTCCCGAGGACCCGAACCAGGAAGTCTACACCTTCCTACGTGGCTTAGAGTAACTGTTGTGGATTTCATTGACTGGTGCCATGTTTTCGTTTGACCGCCGCTAGCTCTTTTCCAGCCTGGCCCTATATCAGCTAACATTGCCCGTCGAGGAAGGCGATGACTAGGCATACGTAACACATGTCCTAACCATCTCAGTCGATGTAATTCCACAGTTTCGTCGATTAATTTCCCCTCCTTACCTAGCACTCGATGCCTAACCTCAATATTGCTCACCTTATTATACCACTTCACGCGGGAGATCGAACGCAGACACCTATGATCGAACACAGATAATCTTTTCATGTCTTCTGCTCTCAATGGCCAGGTCTCACAGCCATAAAGGAGGACGGAGTGGACTGCTGAGCAGTACACACGCCCTTTGGTCGATAGTCGGATATCACGTCTACGCCAGAGACGGCGTAAACTGGCATATGCGAACCTAGCTCTCTGTATTCGTGCTGACATTTCGTCGGAGATCAACCCGTTGGGGCTGATGGTACTTCCCAAGTAAGTGAAGCGGTCAACGTGCTCTACCACTTCACTTCCTATTTGTAATCTAGGAGTCGGTGTAGTCCAATCCTGCAACATTATCTTACATTTTACAGGGGCTAATCGCATGCCAAACATACGAAGATTGTTGCTCAAGATGTTCAGTAGATGTAAATGTTCAGTCCATGTAGAACATAAAATAAGAGAGATTCAAAAGAAGAGAAAAAACAAACCATGAGAGTTTAATGAATATGATAAATCACAAGGAGTGAATGCATCTGCGCCAGCCATCACTGAGAACGATTTTAAGCCAGCTACGTCTAGCAATTTAACTGCTCCTATGGAGCCAGTTACATAGGTCGCACAATTAAGCATGTTCATAGTCAGACTTGCGAACATCACCTACCTGTGTGGCTAAGTAAAGGACAAAAAAAATCTATTCGTAGCGCTATTCTATCTCATCTTGTGGATACAGAACACAAGATTGATGTCAACCAGACTTTCAAAGTCATTTTATTTTGATTGTAGCCTGATTCCACACCGTGTTATTATTGGTACAAGTATAGAATTTTCAGCATGCGATATCGGTAGCCCAAATTTTGCAGGCCGACCAATTGATATCAGGTGTGCGTCGGCTGGGGATCGAACCCCGAACCATGTGCATGGTCGGCGAGAGTCCTAACCGCTGTGCCACCGACAAATCCTAACTTCGCCTTAAGAGTTAGTTTACTAAATATTGTTGAGACTGGCCATTGGGATCCATATTAAGAAGCCTAATTTATGTATCCAAAAGAAGCTAGTTCAGACATTGCCCTTATCCCGCTAGCCATCTAGGTTCGAATGATCCCCAACGTTTTGTAGAGATTTCCTTAATTTTATTTCATATTCTATTTGCTATAACATTTTTATGCTTATTATAATTTAAGCATCTTTAATGAACTGTAATTCCATCGCGATCTTACTTAGCAAATCGATACTATTTAAAAAACACTAATATTGTTATTGACTACAATTCTAGAATATTCTGTGTATATAAACATAGATATATAATTGTAGAGCCAGAAGAGGAAATTATCGAAAAGGATATTCTTTGCTCAATTATTTTGTGTTTCATAGATATTACCAATTGTCTCCAGTCTTCATTGGTTCTTACCATTCCGAGAACCTTAACTAGTCAGGATGTCTACACCTCCTTACATGGCTTAAAATAATTGCAAAATATTTCTCATGTCTTCCACTCTCAATGGCCATTTCTCACAGCCAGTAATAAAGAAGGAGGGAACAAACTGTTGAGCAGTACATATGTCCTTTGATCGATAGCCAGCCGGATTTCACGTCTACTAAGCCAGAGGTGGCGTAAGTTGGCAGGCGAATGCCAAACGAGCCTTCTATATCCATACTAAGATTTAGTTAGCGATCAACCCGCTGGGAGTGATTTAACTTCTCAAATAAGTGAAGCGGTCAACACGCCCCACCAACCAGGAGTTGATATACTCCAGTCCTGTAGCATCATATTACACCTGACAGGAGTAAATCTCATGTCAAACATTCAAAGATTGCTGCCCCTCAAAGTGTTCGGAAAACTCTGCAATTTGTCAGCGTCTTCACCCAGGTGGGAGGACTATATCACCTGCATACTCTAAGACAACACAAAACTATACCCTGGTAACAAGTCAAACAAACGCTATGTCGCTGAAGTCAGTTAAGATGAACTCCATTCACAAACGACAGCTACTATCTTGACGTGGTGGTCAAACTTGCATATCCCAATAACCCAGCGACTTACACTGGCTGGAACTGGTATGTCCTAAAGCTCTTACCATACCAAAAAAGGTCGTTAGGATAGACATTAGACTGGAAGCAGTTTCCGTCATAGTGTAACTTCTTTACGCTATGTTAGGAGGGTGTAGGTAAAGTCATACTCCTGAGGAACACGGATGTAACAGCATGTTAGCTATGCTATCTGTCCACTCTGAAGAGGGTAGAGGGTTAGAGAAGGTCGAACCCTCAAAAAATGTGCATCCCGAATCAACCTACGAAAACAAATCTAAGAACCAATTCTGACAGGCTATGTCTGATCGCCCTCGAACGGTTAACCCTTGGGCTGATTCTCTTTCTGCATCGGGTAATCCAAAAAGAAAACAACTTCCACATTGATAACATAAAGCTTCGCCAAATGAGAGTAATTCCTATGAGGATGAGGTATGCATATGCTTATGTATCTAAAACATCTGTAGATCTTAAATATTTAATGGCCTGTTTTCTAGCCAAGCAGTAGAAAAAACCGCATAGCTGAGAAAGATACCTGACTCTACATGAGTAATCACATATTTTGCCTGAACTATCATTAACGGTGTAATTTCGTTAAAAAGCAAGCGAACTCTCCCTATCCGTGGTTAACACAGTTCCACAGAAACATGAGACACCGTGATTGGACACTAGGCAGTAATTAGTGTCATGAGTCTAATTCTTTGTCAGATGCAGACTGATTTCTGTCGGTCTAGACGCATGACACTTACTACCTAGTGTCCCAATCAAAGTAGCCAATACACTCCCCTACAGGACGTGATTAATCGCGAGCCCGATTAGCACAGTGGTAGTAACGTCACTGACTGCAGCACTGAGTGACTCGGAGTTCTGAATTTCAGAAGGGATATGCTGACACTACTGGTGAGTGCCATCAACCAGCATGCAAACCAGACCCAGAGAGGGCTTCCTAGCGATTACCTCCAACCGTCAGTGCGGCACAGCGGTTAGGACTCTCGCTGACCATTCACACGGTCCGGGGTTCGATCCCCAGCCAACGCACACCTGTTATCAATCGATCGACCTGCAAAATTTGGGCTACCGATATCACATACTGAAAATTCCATACTTGTACCAATAATAATAATCCGATGTGGAATCAAGCTATTATCAAAAATAAAATAAGCGCAATAAGTGAGACAGTTTACGTGTTTAATTACCTCACTCGCTCATATTACACACACGTTAAGAGTAAGATGATACGGTTGAAACTGGAATTTGTGTTTCGAAAAAAAACCTGTCACTCGGTAAGATACGTCTACACTCAAACCAGTTAATGATAATCCATGAATAAAACATCAATATGGGATATAAAAAAGACTTAACCATCTCTCATAAATGTTTCCTGTCATATAAAAAGAAAATAATAGTATCGATTTTTCACGTTTTAATGCCTATAATGTAAAAAAACAAAAACATCGACAATAATGCGTTCCTTTAATCAAAAAAGTTGGCGGAAAAAGCGACAAAGACAGGAATTCAAGTGGACGTAGAGAAGGTGGAGATGATGAATGCAACCAACCGACCAACCAACTCGCGAATCACAACAACAACAACAAACACCAATATCTATGAACGGAATAAATTTGAAATGACGTCACTTGTTTCACTTATCTAAGCAGCAACGTATCAGCTAAAGAATGTCACAACCAGAATCAGAAAGTCAAGTCAGACCTTCATCATTCTGAAATCAGTTTTGAAATCTTCTGCACTCTGAATAAAGGAGATAATTTGGATCTTCAGCGTCGATGTTAAGTCAGTTCTATAGGCTTCAGAAACTTGGTGAGTCATGAAAAGTATTCCCAACAGGCTACTGCAGACACTTTCATCAACAACTGCCTTCGCTGGCTTCATCACCATACTGAAGATCAAGATGGCCAAAAGACCAGAAAGAATTAGCAACAAGAAACTCTGGGAATGAAACAATCAAGAACCTACTGTTCATGCAATAAAAATGTGCCGGAGGGAATAAAGATGGACATCACGCTTCAGGCTACTCCTTCAGTGGAACACGAATAAGAAATGATGAGTTGACTGCCAGAGGGTGAGATGGAAGGGATGACAGCTTATGGGCAATCGTTGGGACAGCTGAAGAGGTCAGTCTGTCTGTTTTCAACATAGAGAGAAGCTTGCATCGATGTGCAGCAGTTCAAGTCACTACACTTCCTCCATGTAGCACACAAAGCAAGAGAAGAAAGTAAAAAGAAATGCATAATAGAGACAGTAGACAGGAATAGTAATAACGAAGAACAATATAGTTTTGTTGGGTATTATAAGTCACAAGGAGCGGATGCATCTGCGCCACCCATCACTGAGAACAACGATTTTGAGCCAGCCATATCACCAATTGTCGCCAGCATTTATTGGTTTTTACCGTCTCGAGAACCCCAACCAGTCAGGAAGTCTACACTTTCCTAAGTGACTAGCTGGCTTAAACTAACTGTTGTGGATTTCATTGATTGGTGCCATGTTTTGGTTTGACCACCGCTAGCCCTTTTCCAGACTGACCCTATGTCAGAAAACATTGCCTGTCGAGGAAGGCGATGGCTAGGCTAGGCATGCGTAGCACATGTCCTAACCATCTCAATCGATGTAATTTCACAGCCTCGTCGATTGATTTCCCCTGCCTCCTTACCTAACACTCGACCGATGCCACACCTCAATATTGGTCACCTTATCATACCACTTCACCCGGGAGATAGAACGCAGGCACCTATGATCAAAGATAGCTAGCCGGGCTTTTCATTTCTCCCACTCTCAATGGCCAGGTCAATTCCTGAGTCGCTGAAGTCACTTAGGGTTAAGTACATTAGTACATCTATGATGCAGTTGAATAGAAATGGGAATAGTGGGCATCCCTGACGGACACACCACTAGTTGTCACTGCAGAGAACAGGACAAAATGGTGATGTGCTGTTGAAGCGCTATATTCTACTCGGAACCCAAGGGAATAATAATAATAGTGTTTCTTTAATAAAATTAAGAGGGAAAAATATAACTACCAGATGATAGCCATAGTTAGGAGACAAATACCCAAAACTAGTGTAACTACCACTTTTAATTTAAGTTAGACAAAGGAATTCATTCATCAAGCGATAAATATATACGTATTTCCTTTCTATTACCACGAAAGACATGAACAGAAGTGACAAATGTTCTACCAATAGTAACCCTATATAATCTATAATGTCTCTGATTTAGTCATCGAGACAATGATGGTATAATTATATATAACATATTTTAGTTAGAGTTGGTGTCTGGAGTGCAGTGTGTGCGTTCCAAGGAATAATAAGTCCTATTTACTTGTTATTTTAGAAGGCAAATGACTCAGGAACAACAATTCTGTATTTGGGTAATCTGTCAGTCTAAAGAGTTAGTGTGAATTAGGAAAAGCGATCGATGCTTAGTCAAATAAGATTTGAGTTTGTTGTTAGATAACTGGAGGCAATCATCAGAAGGAAGACGTATATGCAACCTGAAAGGAATTCATGTCCCTTCTGAGATTCGAACCCGTGTCACCACCACCACCATCACCCAGTTCTGCAGTCAGAGATGTTACCACTGAACTACTCGGGCTTACAATTGACCTCCAGCAGGACTGTGTTAGATACTTTGATTGGACAGAAGGTAGTAACTAGTGTAATGTGTCTAGTGCTTGGTATGTTTGGTGCAGGCTGGATTCTATCAGTCAACTTTGCAATCAGGTGACCATATTAGGTGGCTCGCCATCACGGTGCACTCTGAATTGTTGTTATCAGATGGCTGGAGGCAATCGTCAGGAAACCTTGGACCCAAGTTTCGTGGTTGTTGGCACTCATCAGCAAAACGTATATACAGAATCATGGAAAAACTCTTTCCCCTTCTAAGATTCGCACTCAAGTCACACAGTACTGCAGGGGATGAACTGCGAGTTTGAATAGCTAAATGATAACCTATCTGACTGTGGTACCGGGGGTTTCAGATTTTAAAAGGGACAATAGTTCTTTCAAGATTCCATATACGTCTTGTTGACGAGTGCCGACAAGCACGAAACTGAGGTCCACAGATTCCTTGTGATTCTTCCCACCCCACCCCCGCCCAACCATCTAATAAAAACAATCCAGAGTGCCCCATGATGGCGAGCCACTTAGCCTGAAATAAAAATGAATTGTATTGCTAAGAATGAATCTTATATGCCCTTCGGAAGAGAAAAAACATGCCTAGCTGTAATCAAACATAACCAAAACGTTTTGCATACAATTTGACCCCTCAAACCACACACATAAGCTCTCTTTTATTTCATCAGATAGAAATTCAGTCTGAATATATAATCAACCCAGTTATTTTACCTTAGAAATATATATACATATATATAGTGCAGAAAGCGTAAATATGAACTGGTCATCTGCAAAACAGTAGAATGTTAGACATGCGAAAAACAAACACATTCGTTCTAAAAAAAAAGTGTTTGATTGGTTCAGATTTCACTTCACGTCTGTTTATAATTGTAGCCTATTTTCCCTTAAAGCAGCCATTGTTGCACTTGAGAAGACTATGAGACTGTAAGTGGTACACAGTCGTCATGAAATGATTCTACGTAAATATTCATTGATTCACCCACCCACCCCCGCTTCCACCATCTGAGGATATTTCATCTGCTGATACTCAAAATATTACTTTCCCCACCCCACCCTATCCCCCAAGAATACGTGTCAATCAGATTCCTTATTATCAGGATACAATGTAAGACTTTGCGGAAAATTATCAATTAACTCAACCCAACCACACTCATCTACTAAAAAATACCGACATCTATAGCATTTAGGAAATAAGGTCATTAAGCTTCAGGTAATTTTAGAAACACATTCATCTCAGGCCTAAGGTCTGTTTACAAAAGCATTATAGTACTGCTGCTGCTGCTGCTGGATTCAACATAGAACTTGGCACCGAAGTGCAGCAGTTCGAGTTGCCACGTTCCAAATAGCACACAAAGGTAGACAGGAAAATGAGAGAAGAGAATCAATAGAGTTTAGATAAGTATAAGAGTGAAACAGAATGAGTAATGAAAAACAACAAACGAAAACAGGCCGTGTGTGACCGGCCTCAAGCAGTTGTCCCCTGGGCTCTGCGGTCACGCAACCAACTTCCACGGTGTGGGCAGCCGGGAAGTAACAATCGCCCTCACAATCCGAAGTGCACGCGAAACCTCTCTAATCCTCACTCACCTTTGTCTTCATCTTCATCCCAATTATCTTGCCTTCCTTCTACTACTGCAACTCCTCTACTTAATGGCTCTTCACTTCCTCTTCACTCTGTGTGCACTGATAACGATGGAAGCCAAAAAGCATTATAGTACACACCTGAACGATAGGTTTGATGCGTACAAAAACAAACCCACTGAGAGATAAAGTTTGATTATCTTCAGAGAGCACGCAGTAAGGTGCCAAGTGTTAGGTAAGGAGGGAAATACTCGATCGATGAGGTTGTGGAGGTGAATCGATTGAGATGATTAGGATATGTGTTACGCATGCATCCCTAGCCATCGCCTTCCTCGGCGGTCAATGTTAGCTGACACAGGGTTGATCAGGTTGGAAAAAAGTTAGCTGGTGGTGATCAAACCGAAACATGGATTAATCAGTCAATGAAATCCACAACAGTTTGTTTAAGCCACGTAGGGAGGTGTAGACACCCTGGAGACAACTGGTGATATGGCTGGCTCGAAATCGTTCTCAGTGATGGCTGGCGCAGATGCATTCAGTCTTTATGATTTGTCATATCGAATAGAACTACTGTTCTTCAATAATACGATTCTTTTTCCCTCACTCCCACTTCTGTTTATTATCTCTCTCTCTCTCTCCCTTTTGAATCTCTCTTTACTCTCTTCTTGTGCTTTGTGTGCCACATGGAAGGAATGTGGCAACTCGAACTGCTGCACCGCCGCTCAGAGTTCTATGTTGAAACCAATCAGTCATTAAAACGAGAAAAATATTTGAAAAACAACTTCAAAGACAAAGAAAAGTCACCTTCTCAAGGGCTTTCGCTCTTCTCAAATTTAATACCGATGTATCCCGTTTACCATTGATACGTGGAGTCCTGCTGACCGATTTATTGATATGTGGGGCGGTTCGATCCTCTTCGCATTTAATATTATTATTACCATTGCAACAGGCATTGCCAGGCCTGGGAGTTTGTTTTTCAGTTGATTCCATGGATGGCAACAGCCCTATAATGAAGAAAGAAAAGGAATACATATAAGATTAGAAATGAATTACAAACATGATTACAACAGAAAGAGAAAGGAGATCAGATGTTGACACTGTAATTCCTGCTGTCTTGGGTTAACGAGAATAGCATCTAGGTCTGAAATTTCTTCAGAGTAGACGCACTACACTTTGCATTCATTAGACCAAATATGTCCCATAATCGCAATAATTAAACATGCTGTTGAAGAGTTAGTTTGCAAGGATTTGAATTATTTCAAGTTTGACCTCAGATTGATATTAGTTAGAGAACCATTGAAAAACCAACAGAGTACTGTACAGCTGCTTCGTCTTAGTCTGGAACTCATCAATAGCACACACACTCACTGCCAGAGTTGGAACCCATTCATTCACAGTCACTGGTAGCTGGTTCAATGCCTTATGAATTCTAACTTCTATACCAATTGGTGATTTTAGCGCAATCACCAGATAGCAAAAGACAACAATTTAAGCATTGTCACTACAAAAGAAGAAACTGCAACTGCATAATCAATCAACTGTAACGTTCATGATCGCAGTATCTTTGTGGGAAGGAGTACGATATCCCTCAGTATGCGCACACTGTACTGAAAAAGAAAAATAGATTTGAGTCACTTGATTGGTGTTATGCCTAATTCAAACATTGAATTCTGAAAGAACCACATAAAAAAATACCAAAAATCAACTAGGCTTTTCGAATTACGAACAATGAGGACTATTTTCAGTCTAATGTCTACTATTAGTTATAATTTCCACACCAAACTATAAACATCAAGGAGTTCAGCTTTACCAACCCCCCCCCCAATACACTTTGAACCTAAGAATACAAAACAAGCTTTGACGACTATCAAATGCTAAAACTTGACCAGGTTCCTCAAGACAGGAGAATGCCTACTGCCTCCTTCATTTATGTCTGTCTGTCTGTCTGTTTTCGACATAGAACTTTGCACTGATGTGCGGCAGTTCAAGTCACCACAGACAGACAGACATTTATACTACTACCTATCAAAAGTTAAGAATACGATCTAAATAACTAGATTTCAACAGCAATGTCCAATAATGCGGGAAGTATCAGAGGTACCCGACGCTATTAAATATCATCCGTTAGTCTAAGTTATCCAAATATAACCCTTTTTCATTAAATTATTGATGTGCTATTGGATTTTGCTGGATGCTGGAAAAGATGAGAAAATTTAATAAGCGAGATTCTATGACTGACAATAATGACTTAATGAAGAAGGTGCTGCTATTTTATAGGCATTTACTGCAGTCTGTGGGGTTTATTTTGTATTAAACGCGTTTTGTGCCTACACACAACAGTTTATTTAGTCAAATACCTAGCTTTTCACAATGAATTAACGCGAGTATAACGACTCAAAATGCTATTTATATGTTGAAACTACTACTTCTTTGAATGTGACAAATAAGTACTGTAGAATTTTGCATCGAAATGGGTGAATCCTGATTACCACATCTCAAAAACAAGCATATAGAAGAACAGAACAGAATAGAAACAAAAATACTTCAGTCGATTGTGGAAGAATTTCAAAGAACAGTCAGCACTAAATACGTAAATCTACTCTGAACAACTCTAGGCTATATCACTAAGGTTCTAACAATTGTGATTTTTAGAAACTCAAGGACTCCAGCCGCGTGAATTGAAACACCCTGCATGCTAAAGAACAAGAGTCACCGGCTTCAAGTACTCATACTATACATTTTGTTCTAGATATCCTTGAACCTATTTCAACCTTATCTCACTACAGCTTTTTTAAGAAGGCGCTGGCTTTTGACGTGCAAATTCACCACCTACCTCACTGACTGATTCACCTACTTATTCTGCCCTATGATTTCACCTAGTGCGAACTACCCCACTCACCTATAGTTAAAACTTTGTATTCTTACTTTGAGCTGACATATCTTACATTCATAAATTAGGCCACAGAGAATTAATATACACGATACATCGCTCGATTAGGAAGGATGTCAAATGCATCTTATGTCGCTCTGCCAAGATCTCATCAATAATCAGTTAACTAGGACGGCTTAAACTTCCCAAATAAGCGAAGAGATAAAAATATCTAGCCATTTCATATCCTGTTGTTAAACCATATTTTAGTGTGTAACATCACTTTTGATTATAAAGAGGCAAGCCATACACTATAGATCTTTCAGAAGACTTCACCCGATCAGCACCTTGATCTAGAAGGACTAAATCTGTGTAGTAAGTCCTTCTAGCAAACTAATTTTTTGAGGGTGTGTTTGTAATACAAATAAAAATAGTAAGGGAGAGTTTCTGGAGATCACTACTAATGAGTATTGCCAGTGTACTTAGAAAATAGTTTAGTTATCACCCTAAACAGACTTTAAATGTCCAACTAAACTGGGGTGACAAAGCGCATTTTTATTGCCTCCCTCTTAATATCTAAGACAACCGACTAGGAATATCATTAAGTGAATGAAACTGCACGGAAATGATTATTTTTTATGTTCCTTAGATATTATCCTGATTTATCAACTAGTTCAGTTTCCCTACTTCAGTAACAAAACCGCCTAGTTGTACGACGATATCTAAGCGTCCTCCGAGTAGAAAATTTGACAGCTATCGATAAAACTTACTTACTTCGTTCAGACTATAACCAGTGGCTGCCTTAGTAAAATCCACTAAATATTATAGGCTCATATCACGACTATTCGTTGATTTTTGTTTAGTGTGAATGTCCAAGAAACGTGGCAAAGTCACTAGTCTTTCCAAGAATTCTCTATAGACAACTCAGAATATCTTAACCACTTCTAAATTTATTCTCCGTTACCACTGCACATAAATCAAGCGGTTTTAAATACATTAGTAGTAACTTTCAGACTTATGAAAAAATAATTAGAGGGAACTTATTAATGACTGCAACACCGAGGTTTAAGTTCGAATTCAAAGAATGTCAAGAGGACAGCTAATGGAGATTTTGAATGAGCAAGTACACTCTACACGCATCTTGAGAGCAGACTTAGAGTGCTGTTATTTCGTTTAGTTTGTCAGGAAATTTACCTATAACTTCTAAAGACTAACGAAGCTAACTGTAAGAACTAAGTATCGCACTTCAATAAAATGAATGTTGGTTGATAAATCCTTTTATGAGGGTTTTGCAGTCGACAAATCGGTGAAAACTATGGTGTTTTTTTTATTATTTTGGAATGAATTGGTTTATCAGAATATAAGCAACCACTAATTATACATTGTAACTTCTGAAACCTACAATTCAATGAGTACTGGTAATTAAGCCTATACAGGCCCATCGTAACTTACCATATAAGATCCAAATCAGTAAAGTATGTGGTCTTCGACTGGGTCGAATTTACCTGTAGAAAAACATGAGCAGAACGGTTTTACAGCTTTCCATCTGTTTTTGAATGAAGAGATTTGGACACTACCTCGTATTTATCTCTTTAATGTGATGAGGAATGAAATGAACATCCAGTCCCAGCTGTTTTGTAATTAGTTTACTTGCTCTTGTGGTCATGTCATTCAAACTTAGCTGTGTTAGCTGCTAAATAAGGTTCAGACGCACTTAATGACACCAACAGTTTAAGTAATCCCTTCACCTCTTATGAATAAACACCCGTAGGATCCCAGTGTGAATGACTGCACTCTAAGTGTGACCAAGATACTTAACTCGATTTCGCATTAAAACTATAGAGCACCTCTTACTTACAGCAGCAGTGGAACCCACACTGTCCCCCGTTTATTTTAAATACACCTGACGTACTTCAATTAGAAATTAATATTGACGTGCCGTGACCGTTACACAGAGTGACATCTCCGTTTATCTTGTGACTTATTACCTGCGGTGATTAAGGCTTTTACGACGGTAAAACAGGGTACATTAAAAGAAAATTACAAATTAACATAACGGCTTATTTGGTGACCATCCTGCAAGAAATTATCGTTATTCACAGCTATTTAAAATGGCAAAGTTTCTAATGACTTGCAATCCGAAAATCGCATAATTCATTAACGCCTAAAGACTACTGGGTGCACCGCTAACCCACAGTACTTATACACAAGGGATTTCACCGTAGCAGCTAACGTATGAAAACAGAATCACTACACTTAATTTACGGATCCAATAAAGATCAAACTGTGTGAACTCTGCATGCTATACGTGCAACACTTAACTTTGAAATAATACCTGGAATTAGAAGATGAATTGAGTGGAAACAGTGAAGGGAGTGTGAGTACAGTGCGGGAAGCAAATCTGAGGATGAGACCGATACAGAGAGATTGGAGGAAATACGGATAACACCCCCACCCAATGCGTTACTTTGGAGTGTTTTTACCGGAGTCAAAACATGTTATGCCAGCGTTTCTTAGCACTTCATCACACCGTTATAAGTTTAGGATATAATGCCGATAAAGGGATGACTTTCATGAGCTTTAGTCTTCAACTACTGCTTTTATCTAAGGCAAAATACGTTCTAAAGTAAAATGAACTAGATAGCCGATAAATTGCATTGCATTATTTGAAAACGTAACGCCTCTGTTTCCTCAATTTATTTCCTACCTTGAGATAATCGCATTCCAGCAGGCATTGAATTGTTTGATCAAAAATTATATTTTCGAGAAATAAGAGTCTATTCTTACACTCTCAATACTTATAATCATTGACCGAAAATACAACCATCCAGATAAATAAATCCACACCCACACACCAACCGGTTTCAAACCAAATTTACACAGTCCATACTCACAAGGTCGAAGCAAACAAACAACTCAAGGAAAACAAGATGCTCCAGTTACTAATTTTCACAGTATAAATAACGATTTTACTAATCATTCTTTTCCTGAAATAAATATAGTTGCTTCATGTGAGTGTCAATAGACTCATCTCAACTTCTGTAAAATGTAGGATTATATAATAAAGCTCTTACATTACTAACATATAACCCAGGAAAGCAAAACATGGATGGTTGACATAGTCTTTTTTATTCAACCCCGAAGCTTATTCACTGCTTCAAATTCAACACAAGCTCCTGCCTGTAGCTCGTTCCACTTCGGTTACCACTGTGTCTTATTTTTCTTCCAAGCGCTATCCTTCACGGCTTTGTTCAGTGCCTTGTAGATTGTATTTAGACTCTCCTTTCGTTGTTCATCTCAACACTGACTCATCTTCTGATCTGCCGTCCTCTTTTTCTTCATCAGCTTACAGGTGTTCGTAGATGACCACTGTTGTCCCTTCTTGCACAAGACTTCGATACAGGTTCTCTAACACATCACTTTCTGGGAGCTTTAGTGTTCTTCCAAGTATGTTTTCCCGGTGATATATTTTTTAATGGTCAGTCACTCCATTTAGATGACCTCGAGGTCCTTTCCCTGTTGGCCTAAACTACAGATAACGGCCTCAATCGCTGTGTGGCCGTCTATTCTCCTAGACCTTAGCATTGGTCAGATGAATAGCGAAATCTTCAGCCAAGTCCACATCAACCTGGTGGTGGGACTTCCTTCGCAGCCACCCGAAATAGTGAAGGAACGCTACAAGACACTTACGTCTTTTCCATGTGCTGTTTTTATCATTTCTCTGTGTTCCGAGTAGAACGTAGGGCTTCATGCATTCTGAACTTCTAGCAGAAATAGTGTGGTCCTTTCACACTACGTGGAGTTGCTGACCTCACGCAAACTCTTCCTTACTTTGCCGGTCCACTATCGACTAGCTAACTAGGGCGAAGCTTCAGTCACTAGTAAAACACAGACCAGCCGCGTAACTGGCGGGAATTCGTCTATTCAGCCACTGACGCAACACATTAAAGTTTACCTACAACCTACGAAGTAAATTGGAAGCTGAAATATATTCTAGACTTCTTTTCACTTCAATCACAAAAAGCAGTATAACTTTATTAAACATCTGTATGATACTTGAAATTTTCTTTGTAAGCGCTTGTCAGCGTCACAGGTGTGTTGGTAGTCTAATGGTAGGATGCTCGCCAGCCGTCAACGAGGTCTAGACTTGATTCAAGACTGACTCACTCTTAAGCCTCGCTTAGTTTGCTACTCGGTAGCAATCCGGAAAGACAGGAGAGATTGGACATGGAGCTAAAACTTTGCAGATTAAAGCTTGAGGTCTTTTGCACCACTTGGTATGAGTAGAATGAAAAATGTCCATTCCAAGATATTAAAATAAAGGAATATACACCAATTGTTAGGGTACAACAACTAGGCAGAATGTGGCCAACACATTCTAGTCCTCTGAAAATATAATTTTCCAGTGTGTTCCATGAGCCCTAGATGATGAAGTGTTTATTGAAGGAGAAATAGTTGACTCTCAGATGAATGTGAATTCCTACAACTCAGCGCCTCCGAATCCTGCTTGGTGACTGCCGTGAACATGTCCCACGTAGCTTCATCCTCAAATTTCTGAGTGTCAGGCTTGAATTCTGCACCATTTCCAGTGCACTGAAGTCCTTTAACTCTATCTTGAGGGTTAGGTGTATTAGACAGTGGTTTGGACCTACATCTGCTCCTGTATTCGATCACAGCTCTTGTAGCCTGTCTCCACTTTCCTGAGATTGGGGCGGGGTCTACCTGATATTTTGGTACGTCCATCTCGTGAAACCCTTGTCTCTCCGTGAATATCCTTCTGTGTTCTCACACCGCCGACAACCACTGAATCATTAAACCTTCAGAAAATTGCAAATAGTTCTTCATAATCATTCGCTTCACCTAGCGTCTTCTGACCTATGATGAATGGTCTTCTGTTTTTTCTGCCTGAAGATTAGAACCCATACCACCCATTGGGATTTCGCTGTAGTCATTTGATGTTTTTCTGATTGCCTCGTGAAGCTGTGTGTGGAAGTCCTTATTCCACGTTGTTTGAAGGTGCATAGCACTGGACAATTGCAAGTTTCCCTCACTTTGAGTTGAATCCTACTGTCATTGTCCTAGAGGCGATTAATTCCCATTGTGGGAGAGGGAGATTTCAATGATGACGCCGTGATAGCCACCAATCACTGTGCTTGTTGTTGTTATCCCAGTGATCAGAGTAGATTACCGACTGTCCGATTAATATATTGGACAGTCAGCATCAATCAAATGTGTTCCAACAGATCCTCAAGACTCCTATGCCATACCTTATTTCTACTGCAGTTTTAGTAGCCCCTCCGGACACACCCAAAAATGGTGCTATGCATTGTTGACTTCGTTAAGGAATCACAAGGTTAAGATACGCATGACAATGAAGTTGGTAATGACATCCGGAGTAGTCATTGAGTTAAAGATGCTCAGACACAGTCAAATTAGAGTTGCCTCTACCGTCGGACATGCCATTGGATTTGTTTCATTTGCTGGGGAAATACAGTCCAGAAAAGCAACCGGAAGAGAAACGATAGATCAGGGAATCAGCGACACCATGAAGAACTAAATTAGGCCTTCGTCAAACTAACGGGTAACCTAAAATCGAACAATAAGTTGAAAATTCCAAAACCGGACATTGTTTGTGGTCATGAATGCTGTTATGTCGCACCAGGGAAATTGAACTTTAAACGGTGCACACATTAAAAATGCATTTTGTTCTCGAGTGACATTCCACCAAACCAAGAGTAATATAATGGGTAGAAATTGGCAGATATTGTTCACGTCTCAAGGTACTTCTTTGAGACGACAGTTTAATAACAGACGGAACCGTTTGATAAACAGAAATAGGATGCTTACTTCTGTGGTGCGTAAGTCATAAGTTGTGCTACGTAAACTCCACTAGGGTAGCGTGTCACCCGGCGGTGAGCCTCAAGCACTGAGTGTTACTCTGAACTCAAAAAGTCAGATGAATGAAGTTCTATTACCAATGTAGTCGAAGAATGAAAGAGCAATTCATGGTTGTTTACTCAAAACCACTTTGGCGGGAGTCACCGATACTGCGTTAATCGTTCCATCGTACGCTGTTAGTTAGAAAACGGAGAAATACTATCAGAAGTTGTCAAAGAATATGAACATTGAACGTTGGTTCATTGGCCTTGGTCACCATTGGCGGGCAACTCAAAGGCGCAAATGGCTCGATCATGTGCAAGTTCGAAGACGGCAAACAAATACGAATAAAAGTACTTTATAATTTTATTTGTACTGAACATTTGTCTGTAGAATTGTACCAATCTTTACTTTAATTGCCAGACAATATAACTACCTTCAAAGAATACTGGTGTTATGGAGTTAAAGTCGAGAAGATACATAGTCATTATCGGTTCAAAGCGTCTTCGTTACAATAGGAACTTAGGGCTAAGTTCCCTGACAGCTTTTATTCTTCTGCTCGTTTTCTGGAGCGCCTTCTTGAAATCTTCCGGGTGTACTCACTAGATCTGCAGCCAGCTCCTCTTTGGACACGGATTATCAACGCAATTTGGATTCTTTGGTTACGTTGGATAATGCCTGGGTCAAGGAAGGGACGTGGCACCGTGGAAGCAGACAAAAAAGTAAGTAACAATGAGTTGCCTGTAAATTGTAATTATATGTATGATGCTCAGCATGATGAGTCTGATGATCGCTCTTCGCCGTTTTGGTGATAGTAAGGGCTTAAGATTACCTAAGTTTGAACCTCGATACCCGCAGTTTATCAAGGAGCTTGAGGTCATGCTGAGTGGTTTCGTATTAAATGATGAAATGAAGTTAATGTATTTGTTGAGGTTTTGCACTGGTGTGGCTGCAAGAGCCATACAATGCTACAAGTTTATGTCCCCGAACGAAGGATATACTGAGGCAATGAGGATACTACGTCAAAGGTTTGGGAAACCATTTATGATATCCCGTAGTATTTTCGGGACAGTGAAAGGTAACGGATCACAGTTTTCTTCCTTACATAAAAGTCATTCAGGCTCAGAAGACATAGTGAAGAATTTTTTAACGAGTTGATCACGGACTGATATCAGTTAGGGAACCATTTTCAATGGTTCTCGTTAAAAAACATAACAAACCCTTACAAACCAAACTATAGAAAATAATGCAGAATATTGCTGTCTCATTGGAGACGATGGTCCCCACCACCAGCTCAGCTGATCGGCAGTCTCCATGCTTCCAATTTTCAAAATGCTAAGCTCTTGTGAGATACTTAGCAGTTAAACTTAATTCTCTGACTCCATGTGTCATGAGCGTCTCTAGGCTTTTTTACATAAGGCATTTAGTTTGAATGAAATTTGTTATGGTATGAACGGCTGCTTCCAGCAGATAACCTCTCATTTTTATAAAAAGGACACTAATACGATGAGAAATTTTGCAGCTAGTAATTCATGTGAGGTCTAATTTCTTAAGAAAAACGAAGGGGTAAGTTGAAAGGTATGAAGTGGTCACTCAGCGGTGGTGCGTTAGAATATATGTGTTAAAAGAGTTTCGAAATTGTGGAAAATGTCAATTATATCCTGACTGCTCCCATGATTGAAGTTACAGAATGGCAAAACAGACAGTGGTTTATATTCAGGAATCCCAACGTTGTCAAATCAGTGGTAGAATTGGGTAAATGAGACGAAAGAAATTGCAATGGCTTGAACTTTGACGACTCAAAAAGTAGAGATGAACCCCTTGGTGAAAAATTGAAGCAAATTTGGGAACAGGCTTGTCGCGGTTCGTCGTACATGGTGCGATATAAAGGTAGGCTCATCATAGCAGGCCACAATATGCACTACCTACAGACCTCAGTGTCACCAGCGTCTGAGTGCATTTTATGCGTCAGACTTTCTGCACCATGTGACAATCTACCTATTGGTTATAAGGACA